GGCATTTTATGAACGCAAGAATCTGCTGGAATATAAGAACTTTAATCACAAAACTTCGCATTCTTAGCGGGTAAAAGAATTCATGAGAAATCACTAAAATCTTTCAATTTTCGGACCTATGAGAAGCTGAGTGTGGAGTGCAATGATTCTCGCTCTTACTATATACTTGCTGAGATTCACCACAGACACGGCTATGTCGACTCGTCTTGTCATCCTGATTCGTGGGCTCTGCCACGCCTCCTTCTGTGTGTTACATACATTCGCACTAGACTAGTATACCCTTTTACCCTTTGGGTACAGGCTATGAAAACGCAAATTGTTTAAATATTATGAGGTACATCGGCACTGAATTAAGAGAACATAATATTGCCGATCTCTTGTCATCCGCTCGATACACATATCTATATGTATACAAGTACCTTGACCCTGTCAGCCAGTCACAGACTACATATGCAGCTTGATGAAGTGTGTCTGGCACAGCAATTGGCTCAAGGTGTCCACAATGGGCCAATTAAAATGAGGCTGGGAGCGAGATTGTAATGCTTGTAATGCTCCAGGACATTGCTATGCGAAGCGTCAACAAAAGCGAGCGCTAATGATGGGTGTGAGTTGGATGCCATGCCATGCCATGCCCCGTGACCCGTGCCCCTAAAAATAGTTGCCACTTATTCGAATTTTTATCAATGTTCGTATGTGTGTGGGTATGTTGGTATTTGAGTGTGGCAACGTGTGTATGCATGTACTTGTATATGTACCGGAAGCGGCAACGTCGGAATCACCGTTTGTTGTCTGGCCAACTTCCGCTGCGTTTGGCTTTTGGTTGGCAACTAAAGTTGCAACTGCAGGCTGTGTTGGCAGCTGGTTCGGCTGCCCCGGCAAGTAAGCAGGCAACGCTTGCACCATAATTGTGTTGATTAGTTAATTAGCTGTAATTTCGCAGCCGGAAATTGGCAGTTGTTGCAGACGGCGCCATTAACGGAGCGCCCAAGTGCGTGACAAACGCGAGAGAGAACAAGCGGTGGGCGAAAGAAGTGCGACTTTAAAAGCCAACACATGCCAAAATGGCTGCAGTCGAGACATAATCTTGTCATGAATATATTTGTTCTACTAAACTTACCAGCCAACCAGCCAGCCTTGAAGGGTTCCCAAAAGCTTTTGAGTGTGTGTGTGTGTGTGTGTGTGTGTGTGTGGGTGGGAACGAGGTGACGTAAAAGTCGCGCCATAAAAATTCATTGCCAAACGAGCCAAAGTATTGGTAGTGGCAACAGCTAAGAGTAGTCGCGTTGACTCGCATTGAGCTGAGCTGAGCTGGGCAGAGCTAAGCTCCGCAAAAAGGGAGCCAACCAGCCAGGCAATGAAGCTCATAAAACTTGACTTACGGCGACTGGACTGGAACCACTTATGCCTATCACTTACACTGGCACTAGCCCGTTTTTGTTCATGCATATCTGTCATCTGTTCTATGCAATTTCCTATACGAGGTTAAAAGCATTGAGTTTTTAGCTAACATAAATTATTATTTTTTCAATTTGTCATCTTCCGTTTTCCTAATTGCTCTGGAGGAATATAAATAAATAAATAAAGTAACAATTAATTCAATTAATACTTGTTGAAAACGAAGCACAGAAATCTATCTATATACATTTGAAAATAAAAGCTAGCAGTTCTTTTGAAATTAGGAAGACCATAGCCTGCAGACTGAATTCCGTGAATAGGTGGTTTTTTAGAGGTCGACCCCCGTTTTTATAGCTTTTACAGACCTGCTGTGCACTTTTTGTGGCACAGGTTTTAAAGAGCCGCCGGATTGAGGCCATAACATAACTTATTATTCTACACTCATATTCCACACTCAACAGAGTTTGCTTTGCAAGTTCAGAAGAGTATTCATTTAAGAAATATGATTAAATCTATGCTCATATAAGAGGGTATGCGGACGGTCTTCTTTTGAGCCTGGTGACTGGGCGAGCTTCTGGGAGGGGCCTGACCAGTCTGCTGCGGTCCGTTTCTAGACTGTCGTTACATAGACGGTCTCCAGACTAAGGTCGCTTCCAGTAAGAGGGCTTGTTCTGGATCGTCTAGTGTTAAATTGTAAAAAATAGTATTCCTGATAAAAGCAGCAAAGCCGAAAAGTGAAATCTATGGAAACAATCTAAAATCATAGGGAACAATATAAAGCGTCAGTGAAAGCTTTTCAGATAATGCCGTATCAATGATATTTGCGTGTACGAGAAACCAAAAATAGGAAACATTTTATAAAGAAATTGCATCAAGTTTTTCTTCTATTTTTTCTTCAACAGAGCAGCGTATTAAAGGCGGTTAGCCTGGGATGGGGTACTAGTTATGTGTGTGTGTGTATGTATCTGTATATGTGTGTGTTAAGAGGGCAAGTCTGGCAGAAGACGGCGTCGTCGTCGACAATGCAGGCAATGAGCTTAAGTTCAATACATTTACTTGAATTTCAAGCGACGATGGCGACCACAACGTTGACTTCTTGGTGGCGCTGAGACGATGACGACGATGGCGATGGCGATGGCGACGGCGATGGCAATGGGAATGGCAAGGCTATGCCCATTACAGCAGTTTTGTGGCGCAGAGTGGTAAAAAATTTTAAAAAGCGCAAATGTGCGAGGCGATAAGCAAAGCACAGAGAGAAGCAGGCACCAACACCAGCACCAGCACCAGCAACAACAAAAAGAACAAGCACAGTGAACACGATGAGAGCGACGACGACAACTAAAAGCACCAGCAATGGCAGCACTCACAGTAATGCATGACTATGTATGTGGGTGTGTGTGTGTGTGTGTGTGTTTGTGTGCATGTGTGTGTGGTGGCAGCAGTCAATGTCTCAAGCCATTGATAGTGCCTGTTGGTTGTAACCACCAAGCGGCAGCCGCAAATGTTGCAAGGATTGCAAAGGCAAACAGCAGTAGCAACACACAAAAAGTAACACTTCTGTCTGCGCACATTTCTCTGTGTGTGTGGGTGTGTGTGTGGGAGATGCCATCGTCGGGCGTTTGCCAAGTTTTGGTTTTCGAAATTTATCGCTTTTAGATAAAGCGTTTTGCGTTTTTACGATACGAGCAACGTTGCCATCGTCATCGTTGCCACAGCCCAAGCAACCACCAAGCACCCATTTAGCCACCCCAACCACTCTCAGTCGGCGCCCCCAATGTGCGGCAACAGCCACAAAAAACTATTCTACAACCTGAAACTGGTGGGCAACTTGTTTGCTGCACGCCAGGCGCCTTTTGTTTTTGTTGGATTATGAAGTAATTTAATTAAAACGCCAGCATAGAAAGAGCCGCAAATAAATTTAAGCAGAGCACACCGAGAGGAAGAGCAATAATGAAAGAGAGAGAAAGAGAGGGAGAGCGAAAAACAGTTTTCACAATTGAGAATTGTGGGCGATTGTTGGACGAGTACAAACGCGCAATACAAATTTGAAATTTTCATCATTTTTCATTAAATAATGACTGCCAAGTAGAAACTCTTCATGAAAAAGTTCTCTTCTCATTTTTAGGAACAGTTTCTCATACTTGTAGGTCTACAGAATTTCGAAACAAATCAGAAATCTATCTGTCGGGCTGTCCCTCTTGCTCTACCTCTCTCTCTCTTTCTCTCGCTCTCTTTAACTCTATTTCTCTCTCTTTAACTCTCTTTCTCTCTGTGTGTACTTCAAACAGTGATTGTAATTTTTTTCAAAAGCTCCAAAGGAACTCAACCTCAAACGAAAAGAGAATTCTACTTTATTTATAGCGTAGATCACCAATTTGTAGATTGAAGTGATAAGCGAATTCTAATACCCTAAACAATATCATTTTGTAAGAGTTCCTCTATTGGATACAAAATTCTAAGAACTTTTGTCTTCAATCTCGCAAGAGAACATGCGAACCTGAAAACTAATAGAAAATCGTTCTTAATATTTAAATTAAGCAATTCACATGATAAACGTAACATGTAAATCCCAAAATAAAAAGTAAGTACTTGCATTACAGAATATCCAACGGTTTACTTGTATATATAAAATATTTACACAGAGCCCAGATTTCTTTGGATATGTTTGATAGTTTCGACGATTTTTTATTTATTTATTTTAACATTTAGATTAAATAAATAATATTAAAATATTATTAAGCGCGGAGGAGGGTTGTGCCTTCAATTGAATCCCAAAAGTTAGTGAATATAATTAATGTTACTTAATCAGATATTGTAGCTCCGGTATGAAAAACAGTAGAAAGCTATAGACGTTTTATTATTATTTTTATATAAATAGAAGAATATGAATAGCTGGCCGGACTGGCTTAAAACTTTCCCCCACCGGGTTGGAGATTTCCCTCTTTCTCCTTTCGTCTTTCTTGTTCCATCTTTCTCTTTCCCTGTTTCTCTCTTCCCCTTTCTCTTCCTCTTCCTTTCTCTCCCTCTTTACCTCTGTCTCTTTCTACTCCTTACTTTTTCTAATTATCTCCTAAGTAGAATTAATTTTCCTCTTCTACATACTATTTGTTTAGATTCTCAGGTCTATAATGTCTCTGACCACAATGGCTGTGAATCGGGGCATAGCTGGCCAACTGGCAAATAAAATTCCCCCAACGTGTCGGGGGCATTTATAGACGTTATTGTACAGCTTTTTTGTAGGCTTTCTTATCTTGTAAGTTGAGACTTTGTTATATTAATCATATTTGTATTTTTAATTTTAAATCTTAATATATATATAATATGTTAATACTTATATATTTTTTTTGAATAAATCGACAGAACTACTTGTTGATTTAAATAAATAAAAAAATAAAAATGAAAAATGCAAAATAGAATTTGATGTTTTTCCACATCAATGTAAATTCATCTCTCGCATTTAAAGATTCTAAGAATAACTTGTAAATATGCGATAAAGGTTTGGTTTCACCAGTTGATCAACGAAATTTAATTAATCAATTTAATCAATTCTAACAAAATTAAGACAAACAAGGCATATATTTTTGAATTAATTTCAGTGAGCACGTCTAAGGCAGCATCTTTGTCGTGCAGGTGAATATTTTATGGTGCTCTCTGGCATTTCGGAGCAATTCGAGTCCAAAGATGAGGGCGGAGCACAAGTGCGCCCACAGGAGCAGCCAGAAGATGGCCTCCAGCTCCCTAAACGCCAATACATTGTGCGTGGTTGGTATGGACGACGAAGTTGTAATATTGCTGGAAAATGCGTCATCATGGAGATTGTCATGATAGGCCTTGGCCACCATATGCGTCACACTGTCATCCGGCTCGTCGACAGCGCTCACATACTTATCCGTCCAGTGCTGCATGAAGCCATGTTCATGGGCACGCCGGATCTGGTTATCGAACATGCCAACCAGATGCGAGCGGCGGCGCACATAAAACGACAGCTGCTGTGTGAAGATACGCTCGGGAACCACATGGAGCCGCCGGCTGAGCGAGTTCAGCTTGCGAAAGTAGCCAAAGTACTCGTAAGGCGTAATGATAGCCAGACGCTTCTCTGTTCCGCTGCTGGCGGCCAATCCCGAAAAGGATTGCAGCTCGCTCCCAGTGAGATTGTGCAGCTGTTGAGGCGGCAGTTCCGGCAAGCTGGAGAGGAAGCGGGTATTCTCCGGCGTCAGTTGAATGGTATACTGCTGGGCAAGTACGGCGGCTATCGTCCTTGGTGGATTGCGTAGCTGATTATCGCGCAGCAGCTGATACATGCCCGACTGGTAGGCGCTACGCAGGATGAACGTGGCCAGCAGCCAGAGAATGAGCAGAAAACGCGCAAAATTGCGACGAGGCAGCGGTCTGACGGGCAGACTCGCACCCGCGGCGATCACAAACAGGTTGTAGAATGGCGTCTGATTGTGTGGGCCCAAAAGAAAGTGACGGGTTCGGGCTGACAAGTGCACCAGAAGCACAATAAAGCAGCCCAACATTAGCACCAGAACAATGCACCACCAGAGCATTGGCCTAAAGGGAAATGCCAATTTTTCATATGCAGAATAAGCGCCGGGCAAATTGGTGACCAGCATAATATGACTCATGAAGTAGTATGTGGATTGCGAATAGGGAACAGCATCAGCAGCAGCTGCCTCAAGGTTTGCTGGCTTATGGTGAAACCCCCCCAACGAATAATCGGCCAAACCGTTGAATATCTGCAAAAAAAAACTTAAGACATTGTATTTTTCAATATATCAATAAATATGGAATAGGACGAGTGAACTGCTAGAGTGACGCGCTTGCGACTAAAATACACATTTTCTGCGTAAAATTTGTTGTCCCTAGCTCTTATACTCTCTGAGATATAGGCGATTATACGAATGGAAAATCAAGGGAGGTGGGGGGTAATATCAAAAAAATAAAACAAACTCGTATAGCGTACACATATAAGGCATCTTTGTGCACAATTTGGTGTCTCTAGCTCTAATAGTCTCTGAGATCCAGGTGTTCATACGGACAGACAGTCAGACGGACCGACTCGTCTTGTCATGCTGGTCAAGAATATATAGTATATACTTTGTGGGGTCTCCTTCTGCCTGTTACATTTTTCACCTCCCGCAAACCTAATATACTCTTGTACATTTCATGTAAAGAGAATAAAAATATCAAAACACCCTCTAGTGCAGGGAAAATATATCAAGCAATCATTGTTAACTGAAGTGTACTTCCTTAATCACAGCATTATGAATGCCGATTACTGCACTAATTTAAAGGCTTAAGCATTCATTCAGGATAAAAATTTACAATTGGGAATGTGTGGACTGTTAGTAGCTTCCACAAAAATGTGTTGGCGTTTTGGCCTTCTTTTTGATTCTATCTATATTTTCCAATATAATTATATAAAGTATAAATAATTAATAATTAAATAAAATATATAATTAAATAAAACTAAACTCCTAGTTTTTGTATTTGTATTTTTCAATAAGTCTAATTTAAGTTATTGTAAATAATAACAGTATAATTAAAGTTTTAAAAATTTAAAAAAAATCTACATTTTCATATAATAAGTAATAAGATAAACAATCTAATTCAGTTATGGTAATAATATCGGCACGGTGGAGATGGCACTAAGAAGAACCTCAATTCATCAACTCTATAACTTCTTTGTTGTATAATAATAACACAAACCTTCTCGAATATCCAGCCAGATTCATTGAAGGTGGCTAGCACTTGGGCCTTGTCCATCCAATACACCCCCAGACTGAAGTTTAGATTTTGGGCTAAGAACTGCAGCAACTCGCCCTCGATGCCCACAAAGCTGCCGTCAGTTTCTCTGACCAGATAAGGCATGTCTGGCCAGGTGGCACAAATCAAGCTGCAGCCATGAAGATTGAAAAGCTTCCGCGGATAGAAGATTCTGTTCTTCCAACTGCCACGTGTGGCATCAAACCGATTGATTACCTTGGCACGTATAACCTGGCACCCGTGCTCCAAATCGAATGGGAAGTAGGTTGCCATCAGCAGTTCCTGATCGGACGAGCCTAGCACCACTGCCACATTGACGACGCTGAGCTGCCAGAGCAGCTGCAGTGCCGCCTGCACATCCCCATGATGCACATCCATCGGCCGCAATATGAAGATAAGGGTGTGCGAGAGATTACCGGTAGCTCCATGACCTGCATAGGCCCGAAACAATGCCGGCAGATCCTCCACTAGGAGCAGCAGAACATGCACATGGGGTCTGAACTTGAGCCGCTTTTGGTAGGTTAGATGGCGAGGCTGGGCGGGCAGTGCACTCAATATGTGGGTCAATAGATCCTGCAGTGGACCTAGTGATGTGTTGGAGCTAACGTGCACATGCACGTAGAGCGTTGTGGAACGCGAGGGCACCGCCTGCTTTAACACCAAGAGGAGCGCCTTCGATACTAAATCCATACGCTCCTGTGTCCCTTTTCTAGCGTCGATGACTGAAGCTTGCACCAACGGACAAAGCAACCACAAAATGCAGACGACTTTAGTACCCATGTCTCGAAACAAACTCGGTCTAATGACATCTGCCACTGGACTTTGGCCAGAAATCGGCCCAACCTCAGCATACCCGGTGGGAAATCTGTCTAATGAGCTGCCTAGTACATGTGTTCCATTAAAACTAAAGGATTGACAATATAACACTACAAATTATTGCCCAATTCGATAGTTTCTCCTCAAACGCAAAGGGTTCACTTACCACTTGTCCACTAATCAACAAAAGGCGTGCCCCAATGCAAGGTGACATGGACATTGTAAGGCGAAGCGTAGCCAACAATTACTGGACTGGAGTAAGGGAGTATTTTCCTATGAAGAGGAAAACTTAATCTACAAATGGGACAACAATGAAGGAGTAGTTTATTGAAAACGGCAAGCTACAGGGCAAAAAATCGTATCTTATCTGACTACATAGGCACCCAATTGGATATCGGTAGTACCCTGTCGTAGTGTAAGCTATCTGTAGTGGAGATTGAGGTATTTTCACATCCAAAGTTCCCGGTTCCCAAGAAAAGTCTAGCTTATGTTTTTGATTGGAGCCATATGTGGTATTTTTTGAATAGGCATAGAACTGTACATTGAACCGATTAGAATACACCTAGCCCTCGCCTAACACTAACTCTTTAAATACGAATTCGGTCTAACACGATTAAAAAATTGCTACCTTTTCTATTTAACGCGGCGAAAGGCCTCGTTTTATATTTTGTCGATTGATGCGTAAATATTTTTGTATATACAAGTACAAGGTGCGTTCCAAAGTAAACAGGACTTTTTGAATCTAGCGCCCCCTGGTGGCGCTATCTCTATGTCGACTGGTGCGTTAGAGTCTGCTATCTTTATCGATTGTTCATGACATTTCATCGATTGGAAGTGAAGTTATTGTGTTTTAAGTGTCAGTATGTTTGTGTTATCGCTGCAAAAATGAGCTTCGAACAAAGAGCCAACATGAAATTTGGTTTTAAAATTGGTAAAACTTTTACCGAAACATTTCAATTGATGGAACAAGCTTATGGCGATGATTGCCTATCCCGTAGCAGAGTGGACGAGTGGTTTCAACGTTTTCAAAGTGGTCGTGAGGACATAAATGACGATCAACATGTGGGCCAATCAAAATTCGTGATCACCGAAAATTCCATCGAAACTGTGCGTGAATTCATCAAAAATCAGCCGAAATCATCATTGAAATTGATGGAAATGGAATTGAACATCTCCAAAACATCGATTTACCGCATTTTGACCGAACATTTGGGGTTACGAAAGGTGTGTGCGCGGTTTGTTCTGCACAAATTGACTGACGACCAAAAATTGATCAGAATCCGTCTCATCGATCGGCGCTTGTGACCGATTATTTGACCAAAAATCACATTTTAACCATTAACCACTCGCCGTATTCACCTGATATGGCACCGTGTGACTTCTACCTTTTCGGAAAAATGCATTTGACCATGAAAGGAAAGCGTTATGCAGACGTAGAGGCCATTCAAAAGGCTTGCACCGGCATACTGGCGGCCATACAGGCCAACGATCGAAAACACTCGTTAGACATGCTTTTGGATCGTGCAAAAAGCTGTATTGAAGCAGAAGGAGACTATTTTGAATAAAATAAATTGAGTTTGCCGAAAAAACTATTTGTTCTGTTTTTTTTTTTTTTTAAAAAAGTCCTGTTTACTTTGGAACACACCTTGTAAATAGTCGCGCACATAGTAAGATTAAAATTCTTGTGATAAGTGAAATGGTTTAATCGTTGAATGAAATAAAATGGTAAAAAGTGAATTAAATGCAAATTGCAGTTTCTACAAAGGCAGCAAAAGTAAATAAACCATTTAAGGAGTGCTGCTATGAATCTTTAAGAGCCACTAAACAATCAAAAATCGCTCTTTTTTTGCCACGCAAGGGGAGCCACCATATAAAAAAAAATGTTGATAACGATTAAAAATGCAACCAAGAGAATTTCCATTTTATTTTAATACATATGTGTTCTCTTTTTACTTTTGAAAACTTTTGCCATTTGAATAAACCTTTTTATGTTTTTGAAACTAATAAAATGAAACATTAAAAAAAATGTGTATGCACTTTTCGAAGTCTAGGAACGTAACCCCTTATTTTGTATGGAAATACATGGCTCGTTTAAAACGAGTTGGCTTAACACGACGTTTTCAAGGAACTATTACTACTATTTTCTTGTTCGGTGCTAATTGTACAGCATCAACAATTCATCAATATAGCTGGCATTATGTTTGATTTTCCACAACTTTGTGCGTAGCTGGAAGATGGATGTATATGGCATAAAAGTAAAATATTGATCGTTCTAAATTGGCGTACTTGGTAATTGGTTTAGAAATCAATAATTTCATGATAAATTACTAGACAAATAATTAACTGGGAGACTACGTTTTAGAGTATAACAACTAAATCGTTCAATTTATTTTCATGAAACAAATTACTGCTTAAACTTAATAAAATTATGAATAGACTTCAACTAAAATAAAACAAATAAAACTTAAGAAAAACTTAAACAAATTAAACAAAATATTTTCAAACGAAATAATTAACTGGGACAATTTCATTATTTGTATCTTAAAACTGAAAATGAGTAAAACAAAGAATTTTAAACTATGAGACATTTTGCTGCGTTTTCCTTGACCGCTAGATTTTTAATGCGCCTTTTGTCCCGGTTATCAACCAAAGGTGGGCGTCCGGAATTGGTATTTTTTCCATGGTTGTCGGGATGTCTTAACAGATTTTCCACCGTGTTCTTATTTCTGCCAACATTTACTGCAATTTTGCGTATTGACATCCCCATATCATGCAGTGCCAATATTTTTTCACGTTCTTCGTTGCTTAAACGGGCGAAACTCGACATTTCGTAACAAAAAAAATCAGTTAGGAATTGCTACAAATAATAATTTTAGTTGCAAATTACTTATTTTTAATTAATATAATAGATTAAATAGAATTCTGTATAAAAAGTTTAAATTTTACGTCATGAACTATTTGCAAATGAAAGCAAACTAATCTGTCCCAGTTAATTATTTCGTTCACAAGCGTCAACATAGTCTTCTAAAAATAGACATAACGGGACAACCTTGCGGTACTTTTGCAAAATTCTTTGCTTACAGCTCAAGCATACTACAACCAAAATATAGGAGGAAGAGGGAAAAAAAAGAATTGCATTTTGTGGACAATATAATGTGCCATCTCTTTGTCCCAGTTAATTATTTCGCGCACCTTATAATGGCTTGAGAGGAGCTTGAATTCGTGCTGTATACTCATTGCTAGGCTGAGTTGCTTTCTATGCCGGATATTGATTTGCTCAGCAGATGCACCTTCTCACGCTTTCAAAGTTTGCCAGCCTTGTTAATGCAGTTCCATTTATTACCATCGCAGAGGTATGGGTCTTGTTACATAAATGCACATCCATTTAAATCCAATTTGTGCGATGCTTTCCCCCGATAACCGACTGACTAAACATGCAAAGGTCGCCCCTTGCGTGGAGGATGACCTAAAAGGGAACGCCACAGTGGTCAGCGCTTACAGTGTGGCTCCGACGACCGTTCAATGTTCGCCTCAACACTACGACCCGTTCACAACATCAGTCTCATCTACGCCATTGTGTGGGCCATCAACAACAACTATGGGCGCTACACAACCTTGCCACTGAACATCGCTCAGTTCGCTACGAGCGATGAGAGTAGTGGATACCAGAATGATCTGATCGATGCAGTGCTACGCCTGTCCGGAGGCGCCTCTGGGACCGACACAAAAATCAAGTTCCTCCTAGAAGGAACACGTATCAGTGCCGATACCAACAACATGGACCAAAATTCCGAGCACCTAGGGACGAATAATTTGCCAAGTGCACAAAATGCAGCCATTTGGTTTTTGGATAGCCTGCGTGCTTACGGGTGAGTCATAAACTGGGATTAAAGATATAACAGTTGAATTTGAACGAACCCCAAACTGATTCCATGGTAACACTTAACAGATAAACTTAAAATCTTTATCTGTGTCGCAGCTTACAAATATTGGATCCCAATCCGTTTATTTCTCTGCATTCAATTTCATCTAATATTTATATTTATTTAAAAATCTGATTTAAAATTATTTGGTGCTTATTGGAAGTATAAAATAATCATGTAGGTTACTAATTAGAAATGCCATCCAGTAGAGGTAATTTACATTAAAAGGAAGAAGGAAACTATTCCCCCTAGAGATGGTTTATGTAGAATGTAGAATATCTCAGTTGCCCTTACAACGTTTAGTCAATTAAGATTAATTAATTAATTAATCAGTCCTATATATGACATAATATGCTTAGACCTTTCAGGGACACACTTTCACTGCTAAAAAGTATATGGTGATTTTTTTACGACTAACCTTTTTTTTGTCAAATAAAATACAAATTTATATCTCCAACTCGAGTTAATTGTCCTTAAATTAAAAAACGGAATCACTATAATCTTCTTAGTCTCCTAAGTCAACACTGCAGTTGTATCGATATTGTTTTCCACTTGATATTTTATTTCATTTTTATCAACTAATATATATTTATTTGTTAAATAATATATACATTTATATCTACTGGAAGATAGTAGCTCATCAAATCGAGTTAATTATCCTTAAAAAGTAAAGAAATCGCTATAATCCTCTTAGTCTTCTAAGTCAAAACTGCAGTTGTATCGATATTGTTTTCCACTTCATATTTTATTTTATTTTTTATCAACTAATATATATTTATTTGTCAAATAATATATACATTTATATCTTCTGGAAGATAGTAGCTCATCAAATAGAGTTAATTATCCTTAAAAAGTAAAGAAATCGCTATAATCCTCTTAGTCTTCTAAGTCAAAACTGCAGTTGTATCGATATTGTTTTCCACTTGATATTTTATTTTATTTTTTATCGGATAATACATATTTATTTGTCAAGTAATATATACATTTATATCTTCTGGAAGATAGTAGCTCATCAACTCGATTTAATTATCCTTAAACTTGAGTAAAGAAATCGCTATAATCCTCTTAGTCTTCTAAGTCAAAACTGCAGTTGTATCGATATTGTTTTCCACTTGATATTTTATTTTATTTTTTATCGGATAATACATATTTATTTGTCAAGTAATATATACATTTATATCTTCTGGAAGATAGTAGCTCATCAAATCGAGTTAATTATCCTTAAAAAGTAAAGAAATCGCTATAATCCTCTTAGTCTTCTAAGTCAAAACTGCAGTTGTATCGATATTGTTTTCCACTTCATATTTTATTTTATTTTTTATCAACTAATATATATTTATTTGTCAAATAATATATACATTTATATCTTCTGGAAGATAGTAGCTCATCAAATAGAGTTAATTATCCTTAAAAAGTAAAGAAATCGCTATAATCCTCTTAGTCTTCTAAGTCAAAACTGCAGTTGTATCGATATTGTTTTCCACTTGATATTTTATTTTATTTTTTATCGGATAATACATATTTATTTGTCAAGTAATATATACATTTATATCTTCTGGAAGATAGTAGCTCATCAACTCGATTTAATTATCCTTAAACTTGAGTAAAGAAATCGCTATAATCCTCTTAGTCTTCTAAGTCAAAACTGCAGTTGTATCGATATTGTTTTCCACTTGATATTTTATTTTATTTTTTATCGGATAATACATATTTATTTGTCAAATAATATATACATTTATATCTTCTGGAAGATAGTAGCTCATCAACTCGATTTAATTATCCTTAAACTTGAGTAAAGAAATCGCTTTAATCTTCATAGTCTTCTAAGTCAAAACTGCAGTTGTATCGATATTGTTTTCCACTTCATATTTTATTTTATTTTATTTTATTTTTTATTTCCAGACATCTAGAGCATCGTGTGTTACAGCAGAACCATAGGCTGCCTTACAATCGCAACGGATATTTCTGCATTGTCTATACAGGTCCGGAACGCGGTCACTTAGCTGCCCTCAAGCAGATGTTTCATCGCCTCTTTGCCATTTATGTAATTAACGTGAATGTGTTTCTGTCCAAACGGGGCATTGTGTATCTCTACACCTACTACCCATATGGGCCGCAACGTTGCCAGTCCTCTATGCCCGTTTTCTATGCCTCCTTTCAGGGCGTACGGGATCAGTCACACTTCGATTTGGGTAAACCCTTCTTTCCCAACAAACTGGACAGTATGCATGGCTGCAAGGTGGTCACGGTGACCTTTGAGCATCGACCCTATGTGATCATCGAGGCTACTGACAGTGAGCCCAGTGGCTGGCGTTTGCGTGGCATGGAGGGCATGCTCTTTAATTTGCTCGCTGAGAAAATGAACTTCAGTATTAAGCTGGTGGCCCAGCCGGACAAGGATCGCGGTATTGCCTACGCCAATGGCACGATCACAGGTGCTACCAAAATGGTAAGTTAGTGCCTATTATTGGGGCACATTGGAATGCAATATATACTTAGAGGTATAGCCTTAGAAGATAACAAAAGAGAACGCTAAAGTCGGAAATTCCCAAAACTAAAATAAACTCGTCCTTTATCGGCGCTAGGAGAATCTGGATACCAACTTTGGTTATTCCATCTTTTATAGTTTCTGAGATCCTTGCGTTCATCCACACAAACGGACAGACGGACAGACAGACGGACGGCCGGACATGTCTAGATCGATTTCTCTCGTCATTCTTTCTGGTAACGTAATACCCCCTTGCCAGCAAGGTTCTCCCACATAACCGTTTGGGCTAGGCCAGCAAAGCAAAGAGAATCGCTCAACTAGCGACTACCTAAGTATAGTCAGATCTCTTGTAACTGGTTGCTTTGAATCTTCTCTTCCACAGATTGTAGATGGCACAGCCAACATCACCTTCGTCTGCTACATGTACAGCAAGGCACGAACGGAGTTTATGCTGCCCAGCCTTTCATACATTAGCTTTCCCATAGTGCTCTGTATCCCGGGGGCGCGCCCCTTAACACCTTTTGAGCGTCTGGCAAAGCCCTTTTGCTTCATTATTTGGTCGTGTCTGTTCACAAGTGTTGCTCTGGGCTTTCTCCTAATTGGAGCTCTACACCTGTGTACACGTCGGCGGCTGCGTCGCTTTGTCTTCGGCAATCGGAATCGTACGCCCTGCTATAACTTGTGGACTTCCTTGAGCGCGGGGGTGATCATACATCTGCCCCTTCGGAACTTTGCGCGCTACATCCTGCTCCTGTGGCTGCTCTACACATTCGTTCTGCGCACGGCCTTCTCGGGGGAATTGTACATTTTGTTGCAGGACGAACGGATGCGCGCGCCGTTGGACTCCTTGTCCGAGGTAATTAAACAGAGCTATACTTTTCACATGCTGCCCACGCTGGTGCCGATTTTCCGGGCTATGGTGCCCAACATCCGCATTGCGATTGTGCGGAATGGTGAGCACGGAATGATACAAGCGCAGCAGCGACTGCGGGACGATCCCAATGCTGACATAGCCATGCCCATGCTGCAGCCGACAGTGATGGAATATAATCACGATGCAGGCGCCACTGGTAGGCGGCTGGCAGTGCTGCAGGAGCCAGTGTTGACAGCTCCATTGACGCTCTACATGCGTCCACACTCCTACCTGAAGACTCGCATCGACGATCTGCTTATGGCTATGATGTCGGCGGGCATTGTTCGCCATTTTAGGGATACGTATTTAAAGCAGGTAGAGCAGTCTGGACCGGCGACTCGTGAGCCTCAAAAACTGACGGTCTGGTTGCTTGGAGGCGTCTTCTCAATCTATCTGGGAATGCAATTGCTGGCCTGCACAGTTTTTGGACTCGAAGTAATGGCGGCGAGCAGGCCTAGAGTCCGGCGGCTTATGAATCTGGCCAATCGCTACATTGCTTAGACAGATTTCTACCCATACTTGTAAACACAGTACAGGCGAAGTCCGCAACCATTAACGAAATATTTTCCAAAATCTAAACACTGTAAACCTTTTTTTTAAACATAATACGATTGCATTTTTTTTTGGTATATTGCAAATTACATTTGTAGTTGGAATTGTAGTTAAAATTGAATATAAATATAAGCATATAAAGTTTTGTTTTAAAGTTTCACATCTAATTTATTAAAACTTAATAACAATCAATTAGAATAAAACCATCACTACGTATTTTGGCTGTTTTTGTTTTAAAAAAATAGTAAATATAAGCTTTAATTTGGGATTTTTGTAATATTAAATTGACTTTATTTCGTAGCCAAAAAATTGTTTGAAGTTTGAAGTGTAATTTCTAATGTACAGATACAAGCCTGTTTTCATTTCCAATTTGGATTAAATTTGTCGAAATCGATTTAACTTAATTTTCCAATTAGTATTTTGTTGCAGTACCACTATTGTGGAATTTTTCCTCACATGTAGGGCCTGGAATTGGGTTCAATAAATTAGTTCAATTCCTAAAAAATATCAGCTTTTTTCCAAATCTTCTTCGAGCCATTTGACTGACTATATTTAAAGCTTTTTGCATGTTACAAATGCATTTTTCAAAGCTCTCCATTTGTAATTATAAATCCAAGCCTGAAACCTTGCAAACCAATGGGGGAGACAGTCATATCGATGACTGACGCACTCAAAGACAAAGACGCAGAACGCCAAGCCCTCAACCATGAAGAGACAATTGAGTGCTGCTCGCAAGAACCGCATAGATTCGTCGAAGTCACTCGTCCTGCCTTTACCCCGCGGCGTGCCACGCCTAATCTCTGCAGTCATGGGCGGCAAGGTGCCGAAGTCGAAGCGCTTAAAGAACTGATTGAAGATGCCGAAGGAGCGCAATCTGATGACCTGGGTGTTGACCACACTCGCCAAATAGGAGTCATATGGAAAGTACATGCAAATCATATTGTCCACAACCTTCTCGTCCAGTATTGCGTATTTGCCGCGCTGCTGTCGAAACTTGGTCAAGTGGTAGGCCAAGAAGGTCTTGCTCGAGAAGGCGCCCGTGAGCATTGGCTGTTCATCCAATAGGTGGAAGACATCCACCGGCTGGCCGGGAACAACGCGCGTGATGCGGTTTAGTCGTGGCATTGCCTCCGTCATGCGATAGGTGGCATGGTCTGCAATGATTTTATACCCTCGGTCCATCAGTTCTTGAATGGTACGCGGCATTGGCTTGGCCGGTGCATTGTGCACGAACTCAAAGACCGAGCTTTCGTATGAGCTGCGCAGCACGAAGATCAATGCCAGCCAGATGCTCTGCGGTGGTCTGCTCAACAAGAGCGGTAGTGTCCTGCCCAGCCAGCGCTTCAGCAGAAAACGCAGCAAACCACTTATGCCCAGGAGCAGCCAAGTGTACTTATCGAAGGGGAACAGCATGATGTCATATGCGCTGTAGTTTTGGGTGGCCAGCAACACAATGACGTACTGCATCTGGAAGTAGGGCAGCGTCGGTGTCAAGTACTGCGAACGGGCCGATGTGCAGGCCGCACAACCCAGCGTGATGTTGGCACGCCGCTCACGCAACATGCGATAGGCGCCGGTCATGCTGCCGTTCGCGTAGGTGGAGCCGCCAATAAGATTTGATGGCTCATTGGACACCAGCCTCAGACTAAAGTTCAGCTTAGCCGCCACCAGTTTCAATATATCGGCATCCAGACCATCAATGCGCTCATTTGGTGTGCTGGCATTCCAACGAATCTCCAAGTAGGGCGGAATTTGCCAAACAATAACGCTTATCGGACAGCCGTAGAATTGTTGCAACTTGTGTGGAAAGGGCTGACCAGCACTTAATGCCCTCTTCGGGAGCATCAACGGCCTCGTGGACTCACAAAGCCGTCTCGTATATGGCTGAAAGGTGTAGGACTGCAGTGTGGCTTGGGACGTGTGGGCCAGCAGAAGCACCACATCGATGATATAGCGCTGATGCAGGAAGTAGGAAAATATGTTCGTCATGATGCGGCGCTGAGTCCCCCAGGACTGCCTTGATGTGAACAGCACGATGACGAACTTACTTTTGTGAGCTGTGGAAGCCGTGGCACTGGAAATGTAAACATACTTGTAAATAAGCATTGATTTTATATCTAATTTGGCCTTTGACTTGTAGGAATGCCCGCGAGCACCAACAGCTCAAATTTCACCCGCAGTTTCGATTAATATTATTCTTAACCCTTCTAGACATGGCCGTAGCGAGGGGGGTGCAAAGCGGGAAACTACAACTACAAACGAACAATCTTTATGTACTATAAATAAATAAATATAAATGTAATACACAAAAATAGATTTAAGTGAGAATAATATAAGTAAAATAAAATATGGTTTCTCTTCAGAAAATGCAGTCCCATCTACTTTCAGTTCTGAACTGTCGAAGCAAAATGATTTTAGATTTCTTTATCTGCCATAACCTCCTTTTGATAACTGGCCCGACCCCAGATACGGCTCCCATTCCATGTGAGCTTGCAAACAAATTCCGAATTCTTTTTAGAAAATTAACTAAACTTGATACTATAAATCGGTTTTCAAACAGAGAGCAGCTCCCATTAGAAAAATTATACATTTTTCTCTCTGTTCGCACGCCTCTTCTTCTTATTTTGCCGCAGTTATTATTCATCTAGATTTCAATAATTTCAAAGTATATACACGTAGGTATATACGAGTACATACAAATTTATCATTTATGTAAGAAAATAAAATTTCAAATTGTTAAATTTTACACGCGGGACCAACTTTATATTAGTTCCACGATCATAAATCTTCATATTTTTTAGCAAGTTTTTTTAAATTAATATATTGCTTTCGAAATCTTTATCATTATTTTGAATTTAATTTTTCCCTATTTTTCATGTGTTTTTTGTGTACTGCAAATAATTTGATAGTATTTTTTGTGTAGTGCAAATAATTTGATAGTATTTTTTGTGTAGTGCAAATAATTTGATAGTATTTTTTGTGTCGTGCAAATAATTTGATAGTATTTTTTGTGTAGTGCAAATAATTGTATAGTATTTTTTGTGTAGTGCAAATAATTGTATAGTATTTTTTGTGTAGTGCAAATAATTGTATAGTATTTTTTGTGTAGTGCAAATAATTTGATAGTATTTTTTGAGTCGTGCAAATAATTTGATAGTATTTTTTGTGTAGTACAAATAATTTGATAGTATTTTTTGTGTAGTGCAAATAATTTGATAGTATTTTTTGAGTCGTGCAAATAATTTGATAGTATTTTTTGTGTAGTGCAAATAATTTGATAGTATTTTTTGTGTAGTGCAAATAATTTGATAGTATTTTTTGTGTAGTGCAAATAATTGTATAGTATTTTTTGTGTTGTGCAAATAATTGTATAGTATTTTTTGTGCCGTGCAAATAATTTGATAGTATTTTTTGAGTCGTGCAAATAATTTGATAGTATTTTTTGTGTAGTACAAATAATTTGATAGTATTTTTTGTGTAGTACAAATAATTTGATAGTATTTTTTGTGTAGTGCAAATAATTTGATAGTATTTTTGTGTAGTACAAATAATTTGATAGTATTTTTTGTGTAGTGCAAATAATTTGATAGTATTTTTTGTGTCGTGCAAATAATTGTATAGTATTTTTTGTGTAGTGCAAATAATTGTATAGTATTTTTTATGTAGTGCAAATAATTGTATAGTATTTTTTGTGTAGTGCAAATAATTTGATAGTATTTTTTGTGTAGTGCAAATAATTTGATAGTATTTTTTGTGTAGTGCAAATAATTTGATAGTATTTTTTGTGTAGTGCAAATAATTTGATAGTACAAAATCGGCCAACAAAATCTTGCCTCCCCTCCTGGACTAAATCCTGGCTACACCCATGCTTCTAGAGTGTTTTTTCTCGCAGTTCATTAGAACTTAGTATAGTATACTTATATATCTTGCCAATCTCAAAATAAACGTATTTGGATTAGGACACCCAAATTAACCCATGCTGGAAAGCATGATGAACTTTTAAAAGCCGTCCACATTTAAAATGTATTTGAAAATTAACTTAAAACTATCGTTTTTACGTACATGACCTGCTCAGCGTTCTGTGCAAAAAGCAGTTGTAGCTGAACTCGTGGACCCAAGTAGTCATCCAGTTGAGTGTCCAGCACCACAGGGACTGGCTTCTCAACACGATGCAAGGACTTGCTCAGAACCCGCCGCAACAACGAGACCTGCAACGGTTCCAGGTGCGTGTAATCAGTGCTGATGAAAACACTCATGTTTTGGACAGCGCATGTACGCTCCAAAAGTAGGTGAAGTGTGTGCGTCAGCTTGAGAGCCAGCTTTCGCTCCAACCGCTCCTGCAGTGGCTGCTCATCCGGCCAGGCTGCGACGTGAAAATAGAACAGAAGTTTAACACAAAAACAAACGCCTAGCAGGTATTGTAACGCCATTTCCAAACTGTCAATGGAACGACCACAGCATACAACTTTGGCTGCAGGCATTTATACCTTCATGACTGGTATATGTCCCCCTTAAACCTTCCATTACATTGATGATAGGGCGGCGTTAATTTGTTCCCCCGACACGAGTATTGATTGCATTTCGATTGCTTTTGGCACCTAGCGATACAGCTTTGGTAGCTAGGGAGTGAATAATTTTTAAATTGGAAGATAAGATCAATTCTGTTTGCGTTTTTAATCAAATTTGTTGAAACCGAACTTAATAGCTGCTCTAAACATTGAAAAAATCTCAGAGTATATTCATCATAAACAACAATTTAAACAAAAAAAGAAACCGATTTCAAACTATTAACAGGCACTAAAAAGTAAAAAATAATTGCGTATTCTTCTACAACTTAATATTCAATATATAATGTAGATACAATTATTGTTATTTTTGGAGTCGGTGTCAGCGGTCGCGCGCCGCGCCAGTCAAGAGAAAGAGGCACTTCATTACGAACCATTTCAGATTCCTTTCAAATTGTTAAATTTTACACGCGGGACCAACTTTATATTAGTTCCACGATCATAAATCTTCATATTTTTTAGCAAGTTTTTTTAAATTAATATATTGCTTTCGAAATCTTTATCATTATTTTGAATTTAATTTTTCCCTATTTTTCATGTGTTTTTTGTGTACTGCAAGTAATTTGATAGTATTTTTTGTGTAGTGCAAATAATTTGATAGTATTTTTTGTGTAGTGCAAATAATTTGGCTGACACCGACTCCAAAAATAACAATAATTGTACTAACAAATTATTAACGTTTGAAATCGGTTTCTTTTTTTGTTTAAATTGTTGTTTATTTTGGGATTTTTAGTGAATGTGAAGTACACTAACTAATGTGTATGAATATGGGTAGACCTAATAAACGTGTTTCTCATATGAGACAGCGCCGCTTAAATGAAGCAAAAGAAGTCATGGAGAAACTCCTCTTTCAACAGAGGAGTCTTGCGAACTTTTCATGTTCTAAAGAATTCGTCGTGGATATACAAAGACTGAATCGAGCACTCTTGTTCTCAATATATTTTGTCGAAAACGTTCATCACACTGCCTGTCTGTCGTCTGCGAATATCTTCAGTTCTGATTTGTTGAGTTGCGGCTCTTGTTGCAGTTTGTTCTTCTGACTTTTGAGCTTTTAGAACGCTGGGGTCGTGTATTTTTGCTACACGCATTGTTACGGTTAGATTTTTTCGACGGCATTATACTGAAATTGAAATTCTATTTCACATGATATCTCATTTAAATTTGACACTCATCTACCGGGTGCCTTCGCATGATATCTAAAACCCATGAACATTTTGTATGTTTTAAGAATTATATGGATTTCTCATGGATGCCATTGTCAGAGCTGGACCAAATTGAAATGGGACCACATGGGAATCATCAGCTTTCAAATACAAAAGGAATCATTTAAATCGGTTTACACTGTCTAAAGTTCTGAGGTAACAATGAAAAATACAGTCGAATTGAGAACGTCCTCGTTTGCAGAACCTAACCAAACTCTCATCAAAGTACCCTTGAAGTACATCCTTCAATAGAAAAAGAATCATCGAAATCGGTTAGCGTGATATAAAGTTATTCGTTCATTTGTCTTGCACATACTTAATACAAATTTAGGACTTATGCTTTCTCATGGATGCCATTGTCAGAACTGGACTAAATTTATATGGGACCATTCTGGAAGCACCAGCTTTCAAATGGTATAAGAACCATTAAAAACAGTTCACCCAGTCGAGTGTACCGAGGTAACAAACATAAAAAAAAAAAATAAAATAAAAAAAAATACAGACGAATTGATAACCTCCTCTTTTTTGAAATCGCTTAAAAATGAGAATGTATTCAAGAAAATAAGTAAATATACTATATGTATTTTTGAAATGTGGAGGAATATCAGGCCTGTTCCAAGTTTCACTCGGCTATGTGAATTCAACTTACAACATATTACTAAAAGGACTTGGAATTTCAAAAACCCCCAATTCTTACCGTGCATGCTTATGAACTTAATAGCAGATTTGGGAGTGGAAATTAAATTAATTAAATTAAAACCTAGCAAACTCATTCCATTAAAAATCATGAGATATTTTTTTTAAATTTGGTTCTGTACAATTTCTTGAACTGAGGTTTTCAACACTGGTCTACTCAAGTCAATCGGTTCAGTAATGACAAAGTTATTCAATATCTACATACCGACATAAAAGATGGCGCACCCTGTATTATTCCGCATGTTTTTAAAACGTTTTACGACAGTTTTTGTGATTTATAATTATCTGTGTATGAGAATAGAACTATCACACTTCCTTAAAGAACAAACCCCAATTTTTTTAAATTTTAAATAAATTCGTACTCATTTTAAGAAAACTCATATACGAAATAATACAAAGGAGTATACTTGCAAATGTTATGTACGAAACACTAATTTTTTTCTATTTTTACTTGTGTGTACCAAGGGGAGCATAAGAATGTGTCTTATTATTTTTTCGGTGATTTTCATAAAATACTTGGAAATACACGTACGATTATTGAAAGTCTCTCAAAACGGGCCACATACAAAAGTGCTTGCTGGTGCAATGTGAAACCGATTGTACACGTATATACTATATGCATGTATTTTGCTTGAAGCCCGGCTAACTGCAGCTTACAGCGATAAATGCTCATATTAATGGCAGGTGGGCGCATGCTAGTGACAGCTTTTGGGTGTTGGCATAACCATAAATTAACACCAACATCTACAACAACAGCCAGTTGTAGGCTAAAACGCAGTTTAGTCTGGCATGTCATGTCATTGTTATTAACACCAAGAAAGCCAACCTGCTGCCCAACACCCTCAGCAGCCAAGCAGCCACCCAACCACCGAACTCAACTCAACCCATCCCGTCAACGCCATACACGCCATTAGATATATATAACACATATGTATGTATGTATGTATATGCATAAGTGCACATCAGTATGTCCATGCTACACTCAGAGATGAAGGCTCTGAGCTCATGTTTGTGGAATATTTATTTGTCCTTTATAGTTTGACTATGTTGTACCCGGAGAATTAAAGGGTATAAGCAATCGATTTTGTTGTTTATACCACCCACTACATAGACTCCAAAAAGCTTAAAAAGAAAGTCGAGTGTTTTCCCCATAAGGATAGAGAAAACACACCATATTTTGGTAGCGAAATGTTTTCAGCTCTAGAGATGACGAATCTTGCAGAAAATATTCTGGAATTTTATAGCAATAAAAGATTTCAGACATGTACTCTAGGAGATATATTTAAAATAATAAAAGTTCATGATTGGTTGCAACCTATAGGATATTTTTTAACATTTTGTATTCTAATTGTCTCGCGGTATTACAAGAGTCTACTGTATTAGTTCGTTCATTTTAAGTGCATTAAATCGGAAATGACAAGAAAGATTAAACTAGAATGACAACCACAACGAAAGTGAAAAAAGTGCGTCTGATTTCTCTCGGTGCATGATGTGCGTGTGTGCATGTGTGCATGTGTGTGTGAACCTACACCAAGTTAACAGCTACATGACGCCACAGTCTTTGCACTGCCCAAGCGGCCAGCTCCCACAGCAAAACCGCTCCACTACAGGCATGTCCCAGCAGCAGCAACCGAAAGGCGCCCAACAATTGCCAGAACTGCATGGGCTGTGGCGGCTCCTCATTTCCCCTTTGCCATCTGAGCCGCTGGCCGTCCTCTTTCCAAGTCTCATCGAGCAACACTTGATCCCATTTGCTCATCAGGCCCGCGTTCATGTACTCCAAAATGTAGCGATTGAAGCGCTCCAGCATAACAGAATTCTTGCTCATATAAATGCTCAACTGTTGCGTCAGCACCAGCTCGGGCAGGACATGAAAATCACGCATCGCCTCCCAACGTGCCCGTCGACTGTAGTAACCATAATATTCCATGGCTGTGAGCACCGCCAGCCGCTCCTGGGACTCACGTATGGCCTGCAATTAGATTTATTTTGATTTTACTTCCTCAGCTCGGTGCATTCGAATCTCTCTCATAATACAATAATACAATAAAAGTAAGTACAAGCATACGATTTTCATGTGTGTGCTCCTAAATAAGATATCTTGTCTTGACTAACAAAAAGATATATACACAAATGAAATAACGATATTAATATCTGCGCACAACCTAATTAATTTTAGTTACATATGCCCACTAAATCGTCTATCTATTTCTTCTGTATACACAGATATAGTATTACAGACTGTAACACTCTTACGTGGATAGTTATTACTTATACTGTAAAGTATGTATTATCTTGGCAACCAGCAGTTTTTTTAAACAAGGCGCAAATTTACCGTCAATTGTGTTTTTGGCCAAAAGTAATTGCCAAATTTTTCAATTTATGCCTTTCGCAATATATTTTCCAGATCTTGAACCATCGAACTATTTTCTGTTTCCAAACTATATAAAATTGCCCTGTTTTTAAAGATTTCATAATTCGAAAAAAAAAAAACAGATATTATTGCCTATATTTATGGAGGTTTCTTTGCTAACTTGGACACCTTGGACAACTTGGATTTTTTCTGGCAACACCCTTTGTTTAGATTTTCAAAACATTCGCTTAAACATTTGAAAAGTCTCCCTTTAAATCAGCTTGCACATAAATTGAAATTTGAATATCACACCATTTTTGTTAGCGAAAATAAATTTTACGCTTTGAAAACGAATGAAAAAGTTTTAATAATGATTATGTTTTTATGCTTACAAATTTTAAAAATGTAAAGAATATTATTTTCATAAAAATCTAAATAAAACCGTTTAATAATCTGACAAAACCAAAGCACAGTTTGTATATTGAAAGCTGCTAATTTTTAAACTGATGGTTGCTAAGTAATATCCATGACTAGTACATAGTTGGGCTATCTAATCAGTTTGTTGTTATACTACAAGCATATGCTGCAATAAGCTATGCAATGCTGTAAGTTCAAATTAAATTGAAAATTGAATATCACACCATTTTTGTTATCGAAAATAAATATTTAGGCTTTGAAAACGAATGAAAAAGTTATAATAATGGCTGTTTTTTTATGCTCACAATTTTTAAAAATGTAAACAATATCAATTGTCGGACATTCTTTTTGTGCTAAGTAATATCCATGACTAGCACATAGTTAGGCTATCTAATCAGTTGCAGTGCTGCAATAAGCTATGCCATAATTTTAAATTAATTGTAAAAGCTGTGCATTGCATTTAAGATCAAATCCTACCTGCAATTGCTCCTCACTCGTCGCATTGAGCACATGGGCTTTGCCGGCGATTCGCGGCAATTGCTGCACTGCATCATGGGTCGACGGGGTCATCAGCAGCGTGTAGTTAAGCTGCAATAGCTCATCGACACTCTCTGGCGGTGGCATTTGCAGATCCGTGCGTATGAAGTGGTACATAAAGGCCTGGTATGCGCTCCTCAGCACTAGAGTCATGGCCAGCCATAGGGTGAGTAGAAAGCGGGCCAGATTCCGAGCCGGCGTTGCGGTCACCGTGCCACCCAGACCAACAATGAACATATTGTAGATGGGGGTACGATTTTCAGCCCCCAGCACCAGATTACGCCAGCGTCCATGGCGACGCAGGCGCCACACGATAAGCACTCCCACCATACAGCTGGCGCCGAGCAGGACCCAAATCTCCAGAACAAAGGGCAACAATAGCTTGGCAAATGCACTGTAGGGAGCGGTGCGTGAGCTCACAATCACATTCAATCGACTCAGATAGTAGGGCGTAGTGGGTGCATACGGATCCGAAGGACGCGTAGGCTTATAACGAAACGCGCCGATGGCAAAATCAATACCGCTGGCAAAGAGCTGTAATTAACCAACATTGGAGCTTAAACAAAATTGTTGTTGTTGTTGTTGTCTAGGTGAGAAGCCCATGTTAAAATTTATATTTCTTTGATGTTGTCTTAAAAGGTTCCTGCAGTGCTGTTCATAAATAGCAATAAATGCTTTACTTATTAAAACTATGTATTGTATTTCCAAGCAATCACATTTTCGTTTCTAAAAATTAAAAAATTACAATGGCAATATTTGGGTTTTAAAATAGCGCCATGATTCAAAAACACATTCAAAAATATATAGTTTGTGAACATTCAAAAGAAGCTTGATTTCGTGAAATATTAAGCATTTGATTATCAACTTCATGTCTATTTGTCTATTATTCAAAATACAAAAACAAAATAAATACTAAAAGAGTACTCCCCAGGGCTGGCAGGATCAAAGGATCTTCCAGAAACACAGAAAGGACAGTTTTACAATAAATGTGAATTGATTAACCTTATAAACCTGCCTTCTTAAGAAGGCACCGTAGAATGGTGTTCTTGGTGTTCTGTTCTCCTCCACAAATTGTTTGTCGGAGATGTTGATTCCTCTATGCTTTTAGGTCGTATCAATTTTTCTGTTCCTTCTAGGCTAGTGATTACGCCATGCACAATCCTTTGAGTATTATGCGCTAATTATAAGACTTTTTACTTTTTAATCTCAAGTGAGCTCTGTCTCCCCTCACTAAAATCTTCTATTTTCAGCTACCTCCGGCAGAATCACTGATCACCACTGCTGTGAGTAGGGGCATAGCTTGCCGGACTGGCTAGAAAATTTTCCCCCAACGGGTCAGTGATTCTTCACCTTTAATTATTAATTATATTTTATATTTTATTATTTAGGTATTTTAATTTTAATTTGTTTTCTTCTATCTTTTATTGCTATATTTTTTCATCTTCACTTCGTTTTTGATAGGTCTAATAACGTAGCTGACCAAGGGCGTAGGCAGGGGGGGGGGGGGGGCGTTGCCCACAAAAAATTTTGCCATATAAAGTCGACCACACGTTCGTTATTAAGACGCAATATTTTGCCTTAAAATGGATCTGAGTTGGATTTATTGTAGTTTTTTCGTTGATCATATGCATAAGTTATTTTTTAAATGCATCGTGCATTATTTAATAAAAATTTTAATTTTAGGTAGATTGGTTCCACAAAAAGTCGTGTAAAAAAACCGTGTAAAAAAAGACATTGATCATATGTTATTTTTAATTGTGCTAAATGGAATAAAGTCGTGCAACCATAAATAACATTTTTAATTTTCAAACCGTGTCAAATCCAAACCGTGTAAAACCAGAATAAGGTGTATATTCTTGACCAATACGTCAGGACAAATACATAAGGCCCTTTGTCTCTGTCTGTTCGTCTGTTCATGTTTACAATTGACGAACAAATGATGTGCCATTTAACTAAACTTTAGATTGAAATTTCAAATAAAAGATTTGCAAACCCACAAGGTGAATTTTTTCCCAAATCAAAATAATAATAAATCAAATGATTATACCTTTGGTACCACTTGGTGCCGATGTTCTGGTAATTGCCATACAATTATGCTCACCCTGTCGAAAACGGCGCCCTCGTCCTTCAGCGTGTCTGCAATTTCCTCATCATTGAGCCAATAGAATTCCAATGTGAAATTTAAGCGCTCTGCCAAATACTCCAACAACCTTCCTTCGATGCCCAGCAGCTCGATTGTTTCCCCTGCCGCCTTTTTATGTAGCTCCAAATAAGGCATTTCCGGCCAGGTGGCACAGCTAAACGGGCAGCCATAGAAATTGGCCAGCTTGCCGGGATAAAAGTCCCCAGAGCCTCGAGTCCAGCGTCCTTTCGCATAGCTATTGGTGAGGTGAGGCTCAATGCTCCTGCAACGGTCCTGTTGATATGGAAGTGCCGTATAAAGCTGCACCGTCTGCTCGGCCACATCCAGGGCCAAAACATTCACATTTGCAATGCCCGCCTCCCAGTTCAGCTTAAAGATGGCCAATAGCTCGGTGGCGTTGAACGGATGCAGCACTATAATGAAGTAGCCACCAATGTTCAAATGCAGCTCCAGCAATTCCCCATAAAGCTGCCGAAGAGCAGCACTCGAGTCCACCAAGAGCAGGCTGTAGTGTCGGTCATGGTCGCCGGGCAACGCCCGTCCCAGACCGAGTAGTGCGCCTATGGGCTCACTGGCATTGCGCCACAAGCGGTGCAGTGTCTCGTCCGTGAGCCCAGCATAAAAGTGCTGAGTGGTGCCAAGTGTGGCATACACATAGAGGTTGAAGACAGTCGGCGTCTCGGCGCGAACGAAACTCACGCCTAGAATGTCCACGATGGCAGCGGCCAGGATATTTGTCTCCTCATCAAAACTGACCGCGATAATGACAATGACGTGGAAAAACTGCAATAGCGGCAGGAACAACAGCATTATAGAAGTGCCTACTTTTGACGAGTCCGGTCGCCAGTTGAATACGGAAATTCAACTCAACGTTGAACTTTTATGGTGCGCATATACTATATGGGGGAGCATAGAGGAACCTGCGTTTGGCGAACACTATCCGAGCCCATAAACTTAACCTAAAACCATGCACTACACAGGAAACAGTTCAAATTTGATTTATTTGTAAGTTTTAAGTTTTAAGTCGCACTTAAGCACCAGAACCACAACTTAGCCGAGTTCCACGTCAAGATCATATCTCGAATATGTAACTCCATTTTGTTGAAAGTCATTGCTTTTAACATTATAAGTGTTATTTTAAAAATTACAAAATAATGAATACTTGTATTTTTGAATTTTATTCATTTGCTCACAATATAATGATTAATTTTGAGCGTTACATTACAAATTAACTAATAGTCATTATTTTTGAGCAAAAAAAGAAAACTCATAAAATAACGATTATTCTTTAAGTTTTATATTTTTTGATCAAAAATAAACCTCAAGTTCTAATTGTCCCAGGTTTTTTAATAGGGAATAAGGACAAAAAAATATAAATTCTTAAACAATAAGCCAAGATGTACATGCAGCTAGAGTTTTACTTTTTTAATTAAAGCCAAAGAATAATCATTATTTAATGAGATTTATTTTTTCACTTACAAATAATGATTATTCGTTAAGTTTTAAAGTAAAACTCAACATTAATCATTACATTTTGAAAGAATGAATAAACATTAAAATTGTTAAATCATGGTGACAATGCATAGATAATCCAAAATTACAATAAGTGAATGATTTTTTAAAAAAGGAAACTAAATTAAACCTATATATTATTTTAAATGAAAAGAATAGTATATTTAAATAAAAATTCAAGTTATTTAAACAGAAAAGAAACAAATTCAATATAAAATTGAGAGAGAAAAAGAATGAATATTTGAAAATAAATGTGGTTCTTCCTACTTCCATCAGGAACTAAAAAATTCGAAAACTTGAAAAAAAAAATTAACTGTTGTAAAGTTGGAACTTAATCAGTTAGATCATAACTCAAAAAAAAGGAGTAAAAAAAGTTTAAGTCAAGATTATGGCTTAAACTTTAGATCATTCCTGATAAAAATACACACACCCAGTAAATCGCATTGCACAGGACTTTGTATATTCAATCCTTATATCTACATGGCAGACCGACTTATCACTTGCAGGAGCTTCACTGTTTAGATATGTATATATGACTCTTGTTCATGGTCACGTGATCAAACCTATCCATTTGATGAGCCATGTGCATGTTTGGCGAATCATTTTTAATTGGCAGTGCTATCAGGACCAATTGCGGGCATTTGCATGAAGGTGATAGCCAAATGGTGTGCTGTATAGCGAAATGGTTAAAGGAAGGGCACATAACTAGGTAGTGACGGCTTCCTAACATTTCCCAATCAGAGCTTGTATACGTCTTCCTTCATCGTCGGCCGTTTTCTCTTTTGAATAAATTAATAATCTATTTATTATGATGTAGTCTTGCTGTATAAAAACCATCCAAAAGAACGCATAACAATTGTCCTTAATGGGTACGTACCATCTACATCCAGCCTACTTGTTCATTCGTCTCGAACTGTAGTCAGGATAATATATTTTATTTGTATAAAATTACGTATACGTTACGTATACGAATCGGTTTAAGATATAGGTATAGGAATAATCATATAATATAAGTGGGTCCCAAAGTCGTGTAAAAAAACCGTGCAAAAAAAGACATTAATCATATGCAAAATGAATCGTGTTAAATGGAATAAAGTCGTGTAACCATTTATAAAATTTACTATTGAAGTGATCTGATTGAGATAATTTGACCTTCATGTGGGAAGAAATAGTTGAAAAAATCGATGTTATGTATAACCTAATTTTAATTTTCGCACTTTTTCTGCGTAAGAATTAAATGTCGACTAATTGGCAGATCTGAATAAAATTTAACAAACTTCTTAATGGATAAATCAATGACGTTCCAAAATACGGCAAAATACTTCAAATGTTTAGCAAAGACTGTAACGGTCGATCATTTTTCATAAGAAACCATTTTCATTTTATTAATTGGCAAACAACAAAACGTTTTATCAAAATGTAAGCTTATTTGTATTAAACAAGTCTTTATACCCTGCCGCCGTAGGGTAAAAAGGGTCTACTTGTATTAGGTTTGTGTAAATCCCTGTTAGCTCGTCAGATGTCTCGATGTCCTTTATAAACACCTTTTGCACAACTTTTCTCTGACGCCCCAAAAGATTATGTTTAATTTGGTGCATTGTTTCAAACTACTCGTACAAACTTACAATATTTCAACAATTTCGTACAAAATGTTATGCTAAGTTCAATAAGTTCAATAATAATACGTGTCGATTGGGAAACATATCTCTTAGAAATGCTCTCCCTAAATGCTCAGCAAAAGTCGCTTCAAGAACGACGAATGCAGGGACATGAACTCTAGCAGGAATACCGCAGTACTGATCGCCAGTCCTATGCCAACCAACACAAAAATTGCATGGAGCTCCTTCAGTCCAAATACTTTATACATCTGCTCCTTTCGCAAATAGGCGTTGGAGAGCTCCCACTGCTCCCAAATGGCCAATAAGCCCCCCGAGCGCATCCACATGATCTGCTCGTTCAGTTGATCGATGAGGAAGGAATGCTTGTCCAGGTACATGGTCAGCTGCAAGTTCACCACATCCTGCGGCACAAACTCGTAGCGGGCAGCCCCAGCACCATCCCGCATTCGGCTCACCTGGTTATAATAAATGAACACATCCCGCGGAGCGGCTACAACAAATCCTCGTTCATGTCGCCGCCCCGCCAAATACTCCAATGAGGCAGTCTCGGTCGTTGGACTCACCACCAAGAAATTCATGTGCTGCACATATGGAATCTGCAGCAGTCCCTCGTGCGTGGTGGTTGTCAACACTACCGTATAGTTATCCTGGATCAGCTCATTAATGGACTGCGGTAAGCGGCTGAGCTGCTGCGTTCGTATCAGATGATAGAGCAGTCCTTGATAGATTGTGCGTAGCAGCAACGAATACACCATTAGCATAATGCAGTGCAGCCGCTTGGCACTGGACCAAGGTGTCAAGATCATGGGTAACCCGACGAAGATGAGCTCGATGTCAAGGCAGAGATTTTTGCTCCTATCGTGCAGCAGAAAATCAATGGTGTGTTGGAGCAGAGTCGCCACCAGAATGACGCCGCCAATGCCCAACCACATAACAGTCTGATATGGATAGAGCAGTATGTCCATCGAAGTCATCTTATAACTAGCCTCCAAAACGCCGAACTTCTCTCGTGTCTGATGGTAGTTCTGGGTGGAAGTGGCCACCAGACCCCGCGCCACCGTTTGGCGCCAACAGCCCAAGCTCAAATCTATTTGGCGATTCTGTAACTGAGAGGGAAACAATTTAATTATTTCCTTAGTCTAATAAAGCTATCAAATATATTGTAAATAATTGATATTCGACAGATAGTAACAATAAAGATAAGGTGAAGCCTTACCATTTTTAATACCAAAATTATTTTAATATGCCTATCTAGAAATTAAGAAGGGATTTTTTCTTTGTCGGCTATACGAGTATGATATAGCTAGGGAACTGATTTTAAAGAAACTTTAGAATCTCATTAAAGAAAACATATAAATACCAGATATGCCTGAGATGTCTTCATTTAGAAGTTATCATACAGCTATCGTTTATATGATTCTAACCCAGCAGGATATCATATAAAAAGTGCGGAAACTTTAATTTTAAAACGCTTAAGCTTTATATTTGTACTTGGCAATCGTATCTGTCGAGTGTTTGTTACTTATTTATACAACTATGGAAATACTTGTAGTACCCGGTATATCCATTTCATTTCCACTCACCATAGTCAGAACGCCAACGCCCGGCTGATTGTCGCGTGTCTGCTCCGGCCCCAGTGCCTGCACTTCAATAGTAAAGTTTAGCTTCTCCGCCAGTGCCAATAGCAGACGTCCTTCGTAGCCGCCGTCCACAATCGGTGTGGCGCTGTCCCCAACATTGGACGGCCAGGTTAGCTACAGAAATGGGGGCACATGCCACAGTCCAGCGCGCAGTGTGCAGCCATAGAAGTTGCGCAGCTTGCTGGGAAACAGCTCTGGGGTGACCATGACGGTGCCGTTATAGCGATTGACCAGCGTCGGGGTCACTTGCCCGCAATAGGTAGTGCCATAGGGAAAGTACGTAAACACTAGTATTTCCCCCTTCGCCGTCTGAACCTGAACATTACAATTGATGAGGTAATGGTGCCAGCAATACTCGAAAATGCGCTGCATCTCGCCCTGCAGAAGATGATCGCGCGCCTGCAGGAATATAAAATAGAACTCATTGTAGTCGTAGTCCCGGGCATGCGACACCACATCGATTTCCAGGAACGCCTGATACGAGTCGGTGAATATGAGATTGTAGTGCCTGCGTCCGGGCACGCGCGCCGTCGTATTCGGCTCCACAGTCACAATTTGGAGTGGCGCTATGCCCCAACTACGAAAGAGTATGCTCATCATTTCGTTGTAGAAGGTGCACGTATGATTATTCCGACAGCAAAGGGTCAGGACCAGCGACGGCGTTACGCTCAGTATATAGGTGTGCACCACATGGATCAGGGCACGGGCTACAAACGAGTTGATGTTGTCCATTTGCTCGCCGGAACGATCGTGATACGAACTATACAGCTGAGTTATGTTCATTGAGCTCTGGACACTGCAACGTTGCGACTCTGTCCTTGCACCTGCGGCCTCCGACAGCGGATATCGACTCTGAGCCAGACACTAGCTTTTCCACTTGAAGCTTGCCCAAGCAAAACTTCATATTTAACTTTGTTCCTAATTGCCGTCTTGATTGATGATGAGTACAATTTAGGGGTTACTTTTATACTTATATACCCGTACCTATGCATACATACTATGCAGTTGGGTTAGGGCGAGCATTTAATATGGAATCGGTGGAGAGCTCATAAAAGTTTTGTTTAGAAAGTGTGTGAGTGTGTGTCATGCATACACATATCGATATACTTGTAGTACTATAGTTTCATAATGCAATAAGAATTTGTTTATTATGTTTATTTATTTGTTTATGCCATATTTGCATTGCAACTTAGTACAATTAATTATTTCACTAATCACGCACAGTTTTACAATTCTGCACATTTTCAATTTCAAAAATATATACTTGTATTTTGTCTGAATAAGCACCATCAGGCAAATTTAGCTAGACTTGTTCATCCATCTGTCTGTATGAACGCCTGTATTTCCGAAACGGCTCAACCCACTCTTACCAAACTTTGTATATAGACTCTCCCATCTTATTTTACGCCTTGTACCAGGATATTGGTTTTGAGCAGAGTCCAAATTGACCAAGCTTGGTATGTAGACTCTCCCAGTCACTAGACAACACGAGTTTATTTATTCATTTTCTTCAATTCAATATAATTTCGAAATTCGGAAGTCGTCACTGTTCCGAGGCTCACCAAAGAATACAAAATATCATCGAATCGCAACAATGATTGCCTATTCAAGACCCTTATCCGAACAGTAATACCTTGAACCGTATCGTCTTGTTTAAATAAAAACATTTTTTGTGCACATCCGATCTTTCCCGGAACATTTACCTCCAATTTAAAAAGCATAGATAATTACGTATGTAACTGTTTTATTTTTTCCGTTAAAAAATTAGGCCATACAATTTTCTGAACGGAAGTTTTTATGTGACTCTCGCATCAGATTGATAATTACATGTATTTTGTTTCACTTAAAAATATTGCGACTTGATCCAGAGGAGATTAAAGTGATCTTAACATAGTTACATAGTATAGGGCTAAATAAATTAGAAAGAGATCTGACTTGGAATTGAATTGGTTCAGTTAATGGCCCCATCAGACCCATCAACGACTGCGCCCTGTCTGCACTCAAAACTCAGTTTCGTTGCTTGGGTTCATCGGCGCAACATGGGCGCATAATGTACCAATAGTTCTATGCAAAAGACCAGTAATGCCAGGGTATATATGGTCCCCATTACCATGCAGATGCCAAGGAGGTCGCCAATGCCAATGGAAGTGTTTGTAATCTGTCTCTTGAGGGGACCGCGCTCGCCAAACGTCCAGCGTCGCCAGGTGGACGTTAGGCCCCCGTTATAAAGCTGCCGTATAACAAGGTCGAATTTGTCATAAAAGTACGAGTGCTTTGGCAAATAGATGCCAATCTGCTGGACATTGACGTACTGCGGCAGTATGTAATACTGGCCAAGATGGTAATTGGACCTTAAATACGAATTTGTCACGTCCAGCGAGGTGATGGCAAAGAGCTTGCGTCCACCCTTGTGCGCCGGATGCAGTGCATCCAATACTTCCTGATCCCAGGACGTAACCATGCCCACAAAGCTGTCATATTGCCGCATAACACCCGGTATCTCCTCCAGCAGTTGCAGCGTGTTCGAGGTAGTTATGCCTATGAAATTTTCGGCCAGCAGTTTCTCGAACGAGTCCGGAACGCTGGCGAAGATTTGTTTGCGTATGAGATGGAACAGCAGCGACTGGTAAACGACTCGCAATGGCAGGCTGCCGTACAGCCAGTGAGCGTAGATGCCACGTTGAAGCCAGGCACGTGGAAAGCGGACAATTGAGGCACCCAGCAGCAGCTCAATCACATGCATGCCGGTGAAGGTATCGTAGCGACGTGCCATATAAATAATCAGGTGGAGAGCGACAGCGCACAGCAAAATTAGCCACACATGCAACTTGAAGGGGAAAAGGAGCAGGGCCAGGGAGCTGATGCGATAGCTGCCGTACTCAACAGTGGCCACCAGGGGCGAATAGTAATGGCTCAGTGGCGATGTGAGCATCTCATTCCGTCTAGCCGACTTCCGGAAATTTCCAATGCTCAGATTTGCCATTTGTGAGCGCAACTGTGAAAGATTGAAATATAAAACATTATTTATTTGTAGTATTTCTTAAAGAATAGGAAGGACCTAACAAACGGAGACTGTTCGTCCGCATTTGGCGGATTCTGAAAAAGTCATTGTAGTGTTTAGACTGCCTGTCTACAGATATGCTCACTAGCCTTCCCCTATTATCCTATTCGTATTTGTAAGGACGAACCGTCTCCATGTTTGAGTGCCTTGGCAACTCTGTACATACACATTTCGACAAAACGCCAGAAAAAAACGACAATTGTGTGCAATTTGAAGCATTGCTTTGGGAAAGATCATTGAAGCGATCTGGTAGCCCTATAGAAGTGGTCGGAGCCAAAGAACCTAGATTCCAAAACATGCCAACTCTTCTAAAATTAACAAAGACATTTAAAAATTTGCTTACAATTTATAACAAGAAAGGAATGCTAGAGTCAAGCGGGCTCAACTCCTTAATACCCTGTACACACTCCTAAGAATAAGAAACAATTGTGAATTATAAATAAATTAATTAAATAAAAATTATTCAATACATATGTAAGTGGAAACATATGTGTGAAGTACAGAATTATGACAACAAACATCATCAACAACAACAACAGGTGTAGAGCTTGGGCAGAGATTATATTCATGGCTATAACTTTGTTTCTAATTGCATTTTTAATATCATAATGAAACCTAATATACGGACACATAATCACTAACAGAATGTCAGTACCAAATTTTAGTTCAAAATTCCAAAAATTGGGTGAGTTAGAGAAAATCTTGAATAGAGGGGAAGTGGAAAAGGGGGTGTATCGGAAAAAATGAACAAACTTTCTCGGGCTTAGGAGAATCCACATACCAAGTTTGGTTATTCTAGCTTTTATATGTACTTTCTGAGATCCTTGCGTTCATACAGACAGACAGACGGACATGGCTATTCATACAAGTATGTATATACTGTAGTTTCATCTAAATTTAAGTTTTAGAGTCTGAAGCTATTGTTAGTCTCGCAAAAACAGTTTATTTCACCAGATTCCTGATTGGATATTCGATCAATTAAATCACTACTTGTATTCAGAAAATGGTCCGCTGAATTAATTCCACAACAAGATGACTCCGAAATTGCTCCCTTAAACTATGTGAAAAGGCTTATATAGTTTTAGGAAAGCATAGATCACCAATTAGCTTGGCACTTACCATTTCGATGGGGCCTAAGTGGGAGCCATTCCTCAGCTGATAGGAACTCACATGCATAAGCGTCAGGTTGAGGAGTCGAACTCTGAAGTTCATACTGTCAGCCAGATGTTGCACCAGGACCATCTCGAAGCCCCGCGCCTGCAGCTTTCCCCTCTTGTCATCCCACCAGAGCTCCACATATGGCGGCATGTGCCATGTTAAAACAACCACTTCGCAGCCGTACATATTCCGCAGCTTATCCGGAAACATGGGCTCGTTCAACATACGCTTGCCATCGAAGCGGTTGATTAGCTGTGGCCGCGCCATCTGACAGCCCTGCGCCGTATACGGATAATATGTGTAGACCAGTACTTCCACCTGAGCCGTTTGGATCATCACGTTACAGTGCAGCCAATAGTTTTGCAAACAGTAGTCAAGTATCAGTTGCAGTTCTTGGGATATAAACGCATCGCGTGTCTGCAAAAAGATGAAATAGTACTCGCTGTCATCGTAGCTAGCATTGTCCTTCGCTATATCAGCGGCACTGCAAGCATACACATAGATGGTTCACCACAACACTCTGATTAAGAATATATCAACATGAATTTTAAATTGTTTGGTAAATACTTGTATAACAATATCAAATGCTGAATAGCACGACGCCAGGCAATATTTGTGTGAAGCGAAACTATAGCGAAATATCAAAATCGTTCAATACTTTTAGAACATATAGTATATGTACTTGTATATAGCACTCTTGTTCTCGCTGGCTTTATACGAGGCATATCACAAAGATTGTCTTAGGCGTTCAACCAAGTTTCTATCAATCACAATGGTGAGGATGCATGTTAGCCAAGGGTGTGGGAAACTTTACTTTATATATGGAGCTATACTACATGCAGAAAAATACAAGGTTATCTTACAAAGTAGCCGCTTTATGACTGTGGGGAATACTTTTCTACACACCCCGCAAAAACAACCAATAATTGGGTTCAAGAAAATGGTATTGATCTCCTAGATAGGGCATCATCAAGCCCAGGCCTAAGCCCAGTCGAAAACTTGTGGATAATCATTAAAATAAAGCTGAGAAACGACTCACAACGTGCTCTGTCTGGATTCAAATCAAAATTTCAGAAAATGTTGCACTTTATAACTCCTGAAGAATGTCTAAATTTATTTAATACTATTAAAACGAGAATTAAAGCAAAATACAAAAAATATTTCATGTATTATGCAAGTTGACTTATTTCAATTGATTTTTTGCATTATTGTTTGTGAAACGTGTGCATGTTTTGATATGCATTTAAAGGTAATTCCATGACCTTTTTAAAAAGTATAAATACAAGTATGTTTGGGCAATAATCACATAAAAAGAAATAAAAGTCATTAAAAGTTGCGTTATCGAATAAAACGTAGCCGTACCAATTAATAGTGGTTAGGGTTCAATGTTTTGTAATAAAAAGTGTTTAATATAAAGTCTACTTTTAAATAATATGCTTCCCATGACAGCTATATTATAGAGTGATTTGACGTGATCGATCTCGACACATGTACAGATTAACAGAGTCTGGCAAAAAGAAGTCTCGGTCATCACCATAGCTCCAAAACTGTGATCGTATATGTAAATTTTTTTATTTATTTAAAAGCCTTCTCTGTGTTTCAAACTGGCACACCAAAAACAATATACGCGCACACTTTTCAGTGAAGGAAATGGGGAATATGGTACAATACAATGGGCGCGTTCAGCAAGTCGTAGCGATTTGTGATTTGTAATCGGTCATTACTGATTTCACCTGCTGACCACTTCGATTTGTAATTCATTTTAGTAAAAATGTCAATCAATCAATTGTCTTAAACACAATGAAGCTACATTTTTACCTGCGACTGTGACTTTTTGTCAGAAAATACTAAAATCACAATATGTTTATAAAACAGTCATCACAAGCGGTCAGCAGATCAAAATCACCAATCGGAAAACGTAAATCACAAATCGCTACGACCTGCTGAACGCGCCCAACGACATGACAAAGATTGTGTGTGAATACTTTCGACGTAAGTTAATCATATTGTTGCCATTTGTTTTTCCACACCTAAAACCAACATCCACGCACAGGGCTACAACTTTCGGCCATTAATATGAAAATTAACTTTCATAAAAAGGCAGCTCAAGTTGTCTTCTGTATTTAAAAAATAAACTTACCGCAAGCCCTCGAAAGAGTCCACCAGAAGGAAATTGCAGTATTTTCTTCCTGGCACATGTACGGGACGCTCAGCTTTTATGTAAAGCAGCTGCACGGCCATTCCGCTCCACGAGCTAATCAGATGCTCTATCACGAACTCGAACCAATAGGCGGTACCGGTGTCTTGGGACGATATCGTCATGACAAGTGTGGTCGATAGCTGCGCCAAAACCTGTTCTATGACATATCGCAGGGCTTCGGCCACGAACAAATTTGCAGACTCATCCTGTAAGCCGATGCGTGTGAGCTCCGCGTAACTGGCATATATTAAGCTGACGTTCATATCGCGACAACAGCTCGGCGTGCTCTGTCACCGAAACGGGCTACCTAGATGTTAACCGTTAGATAAACCCATCGTCATATCCTGGACTAGACTAGGACAACATGGCCAACACAAATATGTCGCACTAATGAAATGCAAACAAGCCACTCAACCATTGTCAGCAGCTGCACCGCATATTGAAGTCAGACGACTTACAATTCCATTGGGTTGGAAGCACTAGTTGTGAGGGTGATATATAGGCTGGGCATTACCGATGCTTCCGCATTGGATTACCGACGACTGTATGGCCATTTCGGTATTTCGCTGGGAGAGGTTCAATATAAAATGGAGCAAGGAGATGGCTTCTCCAAAGGGAATAAAGACGTCCAATCGACCATGGACGTAGCCAGGATTTAGTTCAAGGGGGGGCAAGATTTTTTTGGTCGATCTTTTACTATCAAATTATTTGCACTATACAAAAAACACATGAAAAATATGGAAAAATAGGAAGAAAAAATGAAATTCAAAATAATGAAAATTTGAAAAAAAAAAATTGCTAAAAAATAAGAAGATCTGTGATCGTCGAACTAATATAAAGTTGGTTCCGTGCGACATCGAGAGTGTAAAATTTAACAATTTGAAATTATGTTTTCTTACATAAATGATACATTTTTATATACGCGTATATACATACGTGTACATACTTTAAAATTAATGAAATCTAGATGAATAATACCGACGGCAAAAAAATAAAGAGGCGTGCAAACGGAGAGAAAAATATGTAATTTTTCTAATGGGTGCTGCTCTCAGTTTTAAAATCATTTTATAGTATCAAGTCTAGTTAAATTTCTAAAAAGAATTCGTATGCTTCTCAGTTGAATAGAATTTTTTTTACAAGCTAACATGGATAGGGAGCCGTATCTGGGGTCGCGGCAGTTATCAAAAGAAAGTCATGGCAGATAAAGAAATCTAAAATCATTTGGTTTCGATATTTCAGAACTGAAACTGTACTTTCTGAACTGTTAAACCAAAACTATTTTTGAGTGACAACAATGCACAACGTTGTAAAATTAGTCGCATTAATATACTATATATGTATATATTGTATATTGCCTCAGGTTTCGATAAAATCAACGAACTGGTGGCCGCAAAAACAACTTATTGCCCCGTTTGTCCCGTTGCCCAAAATCAACCTTAGCACCAAATATAGGGCTAGCTAAGAGTTATTACGTTGAGCATATTAACACAATTTTATCATGCCCATTATATCATATAATATATATAGATATATATAATATATATATATAATATTATATATATATATATATACTATATATATATATAATTATAGATCTATATAATATATAGATATCATATATCATCTCTATATATTCTATATATATATATCTATATATATATAAGTATCTCTCTATATCTATCATTCTATCTCTCTATTATCATATCTATATATATCTATATATAATATAGACTATATATATATATATTATATATCATAATATATAGCTATATATATATATGGGCCATGCATAAAGTGTGTTAAAATAGGTATCGCCCGAATAGTCATTGTTCTATAGCTAAGCGTAAGTTAAAGCAATGTATGCGAATATTTTGATCGATCTCTATGTGTACTAGAGCATGGGCATGGCCCGGCTATTTTTGGCCTGACACGACACGGCCACGAAATGAACTTTTGGGAACACGCACGCGCACTCACGACGAAAAACGGCCCAGCACGAACATGTTATAATCCTTAAATGTAAAAACGAAAAACATATATACATATTAAGCACTTTAAATTTCTCCAGAAGTGAAAAAAAATCGTTCACTTGTTTAAAAAACTGTCAGGGATATTGACTATATGTCTTGATATTTGCCTTGGCAATTCCAAATTCCTGGATCAACAGCACTACATATATAGTTATATATTTCAAAATCTATTGTTGACCTGCCCAGAAAATTTGTTTTGCATTATTAATGTGCAATAATTAAGAAAAGTCGTGTTGACCATTTTTTGTTTATTACTTTAGCTGTTAATTTTTGTTCGTGGCATAATCGTGTTTTTTCGTGTTTGATCGTGCGTGTTTTGTCGTGCATATTTAGCTCAACACGAACACGCACGGCCACGCACGAAATCGGAATTTGCACGAAGTGACACGACCGAAAACCCGGCCCATGCCCAACTCTATTGTGTACCTAGATTTAAGACTAAATACGAAATTCCATAATTCTCAAATCTACTTTCACAATGAATAATTATTCATGAAATTTATACATATTTTCAGAACTTCCGACAGTACTAGGAATCTAATAATTCTTGTACTAACTAGATACAATTTTTATTATTATTATTTAAGTTATTATTTCTGAACTATTATTTCGGATATTAAGCTCCATTTTAAAATGCGAAAGTTCTAGAATTTTGGCCAACATTCTGGGACTTTTGGCCCCGTGTGTGATGATGTACTATGACTTTCTTTTGAGTCTGCACATGAGAACGGGGGCTAATCGAACCAAGCTCCCAAAATTTCCGTCAGCTTCCTGTAGAGAAAATTCACAAAACTGGGAGATTTTACCAACATTTGTACGAATTTGTGAAACAATATTTTACAATTTCTACATGTATTGAAATTGAGAACAGGATCACAATCATGTTGAGAACACAACAACTGCTTGAGTATTTCTTATTGAAATATGGATAGTTTCTGCAACTCAAGAATTTTACAAACTAACAACGCTATACTGCTTTTACTAAAAATATATGAAATGTAGATAAGAGTGCAAAAGCTCTATTTGAAATATGAAATGTTAAGAACGATTAGTTGTTAATAATAATACTAATATCCACTTTATTTAATCCTTTCGGTCTCGGGTCTCTGAATTCGTAATAGGAGCGTTAACAACAACTCATTTATCATTTGGCTAAAAGGAAAACTTAAATTATTCAAACCATATACATACTATACGTCACTAGTTGATTCAATTGTCGACCCGCCCCGTTTATGGACGCCAAAAAAGCCTAATTCAATATGTTAAAGACCAAATACTCTCTGGTGTGGCCAACTGCCTGGAAAAGCAGATAACATCGCTTATACCTGATTTGTGACTGTGGCGTCAGACTAACTCATAAGTAATAGTTTTGTTTAACTTGGAATATAATTAGAGTGTATATATGTACATATACTTGCACGCAATTGTTGAGAGCATGTCCATTAAACAGTTGTACATACATGTCTGTTTAATGGACATGCTTAGAACAATTAACTAAGAGAGTGTTTCGTCATCGGCAAACGGACGAGCATATCCTGTAGCTCCTTAATGAAATGCAAATATGATTGGAAGTCGTAGCCGACCCGACCGATGGCCAGTTCCCAAACGACAGGCACTGTGCCCGGACCACAATGAACCTAACAAATCTGCTGAACTTCGAATCAATGCAATATCGCGGCGCACAGACGCAAGCGAGTGCTGTAAACATTTTTGTTGCCAATTCTTTGCGCACACTTATTGAGGATTTCTATCAGCGGATAGCGCCGGCCTTCATTGTGATTATATCCTGTCGGCGCCCCAGTCCGATGAACTTCTATCGCACCATCATGCAGCTCCTGTACGAGAATGTGGATACAATGATCATACAATTGGTGCATCACAATAACGAGGCGCCGCGTCGCATTGAGGGGCCGCGTCTGCACAATTTGCTGCTCGTGGACTCGTTAGATGCTCTGCTGTAAGTTGCTGGAAACTGGAAATCTATACCCATAGAAAACTATACAAACCTCTCTATGTTATTGATAAAAATGAAATGTTAGTCGATTTTGGTTGGCCCATCAGTCCATTTGTCAGGTATACTTGTACAGTACCTTGTAATGCATAAGCATATCAAGTTAATATTATAACCTATTAACTGTGGCTGTAATAACTCAGTAACGCATTTTTCAGTCGATTGTGCATGTTTGACCTTTGACCATGGCCATATCTAATCGTCTCGTCTCGTGCTAATTATAGTATGTAATTATAGTATGTACTTGTATGTATGTATACTTCCAGGGATATTGAAATTCACACCTATACGGCACAGTACGATGCACACGAGTACTACTACATATTTCTGCAACAGCGTGACGCCCGGATACCGGAGGATATGCAGGGTGTATTCGAGTACTGCTGGCGTCATCAGCTCATCCATTGCAATGTAATGACACAAAGCTCCGGTGGAGAGGTCATCATGCACACCTACTTTCCATACACGCCCACGCATTGTGGACACATTGTGGCCGTCAAAATAAATCAGTTTATGGGAGATGCCTGGCAGCATCGCGACTACTTTCCATCGAAATTAAAAAACTTCTACCAATGCCCGCTGCCAGTGGTCGTCCGCAAAATGCCGCCGTTCTTCAATGTCATAGGTCTTGAAGCTTTGGGATTGCACGGCCTGGAGGGGCAGTTACTACAGGAGCTGGCGAACCGTTTGAACTTCACCATACGCTTGATTGCCTTGGATAAGCAAGATGATGATGTGTGGACGGAGCATCAAATGCTGCAACTGGTAAGGAGACATACATACAATTATATTTATTCACCATCGCTTCATAAATAAATAATAAATCAGGTAATTGATTAGGTGCGCAGATTTATGACATTTATAAGTAATCCAAGACCAGTTTGATAGAGGTCCCCACACATATACATTTCACGCAATTATTACATCGATGGTATATTTCCTTTGTAGTTGTTTTTTCCAATGCAATGCAAATAATAGGCAAAGCTTTACAAGTTCAATTTAGTAGACTTTGTAGAAATGTAGTAATACCAATTTATTTAAATAAAACAACGATATGTATACACCTAATTCTGTTTTTACACGGTAGATTAGTTCCTAAAAAAGTCATGTTATAAAAAACCGTGTAAAAAAAGACAAAGATATGCAAAATGAATCGTGCTAAATGGAATAAAGTCGTATACATATAAATTTTTAAATTTTCAAACCGTGTTAAATCAAAACCGTGTAAAAAAACCGAATTAGGTGTAATAGGTATTGTAAAAATCTACAAATTCTACATATTAAAATGCGCGCCAAACTTTTAGCAATCTAGCTGAGTTGGCAGCGCTTATCTCACTGTTAATAGGCATAGTGTGAAAGTCCGTTATTCAAATTAAACAGCTGACTGACTGTCTGTTAACTAACATTAGCACAGACATTCATTCCAAACATTTTTTGCAAATCTTAATCCGCAGCTGCAGGAACGAAAGGCCCAGGTCGCCGTCGGCTATATCAGAAAACGTCTGGTATACGACGCAAATCTAACCGCTGTCTTTCCACACTACTCCAATATGCTGGTTAGCTGCCTGCTTAAGAACGCCTACAACCTGACCAGCATTGAGATGCTACGCTTTCCCTTTCAAACGATTACATGGTTGATGCTGCTGTGCAGCTTTATTCTCATCAGTTTTCTCATTTTAAGCGGACGTGGTCGTAACTTCAGTCGAACGGCAGCTGTGCTGGGCGTCTATGCCATTGCCTTGGGCATGCCCTTGCCAGCGGCACCAACGCGACCCACACAGCAGGTCCTAATCCTAAGCTGGCTGTGCTTCACGCTAATCGTGCGGGCCATGTATTCGGCGTTACTCTACCATGTGCTGCGCCACCACGTTCACAGACGGCTGCCCAAAACGCTGCTGGAATTAATGCAGGGCGGCTATACGGCAGTTCTCAACCGCATCACCTTGCAGGACTTAAGCGAGGTCGTGAGCTTTGAGGATTTCTTCAGCAAGCGCCACGTAATCATCCATTCGGAGCTAGAGGTGGAAGTGCTGCAGAATGTGGAAATGCGCGTGCAATCGCCCGAAGCCGGTGCTCATCCGAAAATCTTTGGCGTGCTCTCTCGTGATACGCTCATGTATCTGGCCAGCAAAACCCAGAAGCCGGGTGCCTATCACATAGTCGACGAATCCGTTATAGAGCAGCAGCTGGCTATGTACTTGCAAAAGCATTCCTATCTGGTCCAACAGTTCGATCAGCTCATCATGTCCATCCAAGCGGTGGGTCTGATGAACTACTGGTCCAGTCAATTGGCCAATGAGCAGTATTTTCGAAACATGTTTCTATACCGAGAAAAGCGGCTACGACAGCCCGATCTTTGGGGCATTTATATAATCGCCGCCACTCTATACAGTTTCGCTCTACTCATTTTCATTGGAGAACTGCTGGCGGAACTCTGCTCCAGGCTGTGGACGCGATGGCGCATTAAAACCCAACACGTTTTCATCCATTGAATTTTCGGCCTGTAATTAGTTTCTGAGTTCAATTAAATTCGTAAATCACCCAAAACCCCTAATACAATGGAGTTATTCGGTTTCCGAAGTGGGATTGCACGATTTTCAAATATGTAACATTACATATTTCAAAATTAACAGCGATGGGCAAATTTTCAAAAATTTAACATAACATGAATGTTATGTTTCGAAATTAACAGCGACGCGCCACAGCGCTGCCTTGATACCAAAAGAGGAGCCGACAAGCGCCACCTGGAGCTACTGAGCACAAAGTCAACGGAGAACAAAAACAAAAGTGAAAGAGGAAGCGCACTTAGGATATCGCCAGAAAGTGATATCGTTGGCCGATTGTTTTAATTACTATCAGTTTAGTTTATTTGCGATCTCCTCAAAAGCAGATTAGTTTCTACCTCCGCAAGTGGAAATTTACAAAGAAAAAAAAACAACTTTCTAATGTCAGATCGCAGCTACCTCTCTGTACCGAATAATTGACCTGCGCTATGCACTGCCTTTAATTTTTTGCCTGATTCCTACATCTGTATGTAGGTATATATGTATGTACATATCTCTCTCTCGCTCACTCGTATAATGCTGAAGCTTATGAGCTTATAATAATGACGTGAATTCCACCTCATAGGCAATACTACTATACATATGTATGTAATTCATTTATATGGACACAAATATGTACGAGTATATGTAAGTTAGGCAGGTATTTATATAATTATTTATATGTGTATATATATATTTATTTTATACATATGTATGTACGTACATATGTACATAGGTAAAAGAGAAAAAATAAACACCGACACGTAGCGAATTAATTTCATTAGTTGTTGTAGATCACTGATAAATGCAATTCTGGTTCTGGGTGAGGGTCGCGGGGGTGTGGACTGTGAGGCGAGATAGGGAATCACGAGTGCTCACAGCTTTTCCAGGAGGATGGAGGAGGCGCCACCGCCGCCATTACAAATGGAAGCGCAGCCCAATTCGCCCTTTTTCAGTGCATGAGATAGATGTGTGACCAAACGAGCCCCAGACATGCCAATGGGATGGCCGATGGAGACAGCGCCTCCATGTATATTCACTTTGGCTGGATCCAGATCGAGGCTGCGTATGTTGGCCAACACGACCAGGGAGAAGGCCTCATTGATCTCCCACATGGCCACGTCCTGCTTATTGACGCCGGCGCGAGCTAACAGCTTGGGCACAGCCAGGGCGGGGGCAATGGGGAAATCAATGGGATCGGTCTCCGCATCCTGGTAGGCAACAATGCGCGCCAGCGGCTTGAGACCTGCACGCTGTGCACCCTCGGCGGTCATGAGCACGACTGCGGAGCCACCATCATTCAAGGTAGAGGCATTACCCGCTGTCACTGTGCCGTTTTCACGCTGGAAAACGGTGGCCAGTTGTCCAAACTTGTCGAAGTTGACGCGCCTGTATTCCTCATCCTCGGCAATGGTGACCTCTGGTTTACGCTTCTGCTGTATTTTGACGGGCGCAATTTCCTCGGCAAACACCTTGTCGCCCCAGGCCTTGGCAGAGCGCTTATACGAATCGATGGCAAACGCATCCTGGTCCTGTCGTGAAATCTGCATCTTTTTGGCCACGCTCTCTGCGCAGTTGCCCATGTGGAATTTGTTATAAACATCGAACAGTCCATCGAAGACTATGCCGTCGATTAGATTGACGCCACCATAGGGCGTGGCACCACGCTTCAAATAGTACGGCACATTCGACATGGACTCCATGCCACCTGCCACGACGACATCAGCCTGGCCTAGAGCCAGCGACTGGGCGCCCAGCATGACCGCTTTCATGCCCGATGAGCACACTTTGTTGACTGTGGTGCAGCAAACGTTGGTGGGCAGACCAGCAAAAATGGCAGCCTGGCGCGCGGGTGCCTGTCCCAATCCTGCAGATACCACATTGCCCATAATAACTTCGTTCACATCGCCCTTGCCAATGCCCGCGCGTTGGATAGCCGCCTCAATGGCTGTGGCACCTAGCTGTGTTGCTGATAATGGCGCCAGTTGGCTCTGGAAACTGCCGATGGGTGTGCGGGCAGCAGACACAACAACAACATCATTAAACTTTGAACTATAGCCGCGAGTGGCTCGGGCGCAGACGGTGCGAGTGGCTTGCAGCAGATTTGTGGCCATGATGCATATGTTACCTAATGGCTGGCAAATTGATATCGACTGCTCAGACAGCGGAAGGAGAGATCTTTAAGTCTCGCGGGCACAGCGATTCAGAGTCCAACTAGAACAAATGGATAGACGGCGAAGAACCTGTTGCATACTTGCGTAACATTCGCCGCGAACAGCTGTTCGGCATCAGTGTTGGGTAGCGCTGAAGAGCGCCCTTTCGCCATATTCAAGGCAATTGAGCTTAAATGATGATTTTGAAAATACAAGCGACGATAAAGGTAAATACCTTTCCAAATATTTTTTGATTTAATAAAATTAAATGTTATATTGCCACATACCAATAAAAAGCGATCGCCGCTTACCGTAAATGCATGAAAAACACTAACAAATTCATCAGATTCAATATATAATTTCTTGGGTAAGATAAACAGATTTTGATATTCAACCGGCATAAATTTAAACTTAACAAAGGCTGTATGTATTCCAAAAAATATTTGAATTGATTGAAAGTACGATATTGAGGCACAATTGGGGCTTGATATTGAAAACCATACGGAACGCTATCTGCTTTGAATGTATTAATGCTATAGTATTGGAATTATTGACACTCCTTCAATTTGTAGGTCGCATTCTATACAAAACAAATGTAGGGCTTGTTGATCATCACAGGCTAAATTAAAAATAATCGTCAATTATCCCAGGGAGCAATAATAGGAAAGTGATTTTAATTTCGAATAACAGATGAGAAGATTACATACCACTTTGATTGTACGTATATTTAAAGCCGAACCCGAAAGATTTGCTTCTTAATACGGTGACGGTCCTGGTTGCATATGAAGTTCGGGCATTTTTTGGCATGGTGAAGAGCCAGGCCTAAGCTTATTGACGAAATTGAAGAGGATGTTGAGCAGAGCGATCGCTTTGACGCCTGCTTATGCAGTCCCATTGCTATGGCCTGCTCCGAGAGTTTCGCACAAAAACTCTCCACGAACTTCCCATATCCGTCTTTATCAGACTTGCCGGAGGCAGTGTTGCGGAAGAGTCCTCCTCTGTTTAAGGTCTCGGATGGCGATCCAATCAAATTGCAAACGCTTAAATTGTAGCGCCTACTATTGCTATTACTGGCGATGGCCGTATTCAAAAGGCTTTTCTTATCCCTGAGAAATCCTGCACGCTCGTCGCATGAAAAGATAAGTTTTACCTCCTTCTTTGGTTGATCCATGCTGCTCTGTCTCGACATCGTGTTCGCCCTTTGGTTTGAAATATAGGACTGTGAATTTATGCGAAAGCCGAAAAATGTTTCAAATGTTTTTTGCCAGTTTAAAATTATTTTATTTATAGTTTTTTTTTAGAATAACTGGTCTAAAAGCAAAAAGCAAACTAAAAGTATTTCAAAAAATAACTTATTCTGAGTATAATCTACTCATATTCAATGGTTATTCAATCGTTACCATCAGATAGCGCCGCTCCGGTTGTGTTATCATCAGAGGAGCCAGAATTTGTGGTGTTTGTTGTTTTAGAAGCTGTTGCGGGTTCCTGCAGATAGTCTTGGGGGGATGTGTTTGAGTCCGAAATGGTAAATTTTGTGGCTTTTCTGGATGTGATATACACCTCGTATGCCCCTTTCGGAATGGGCTTTGATTGTGGTGTATTTTTTTTACGCCGTGACATCTCGTAGTCGAATAGATCTTCAAGGCACATTTCAATAGTTTGCAGTTCTCGTTTTAGCATTTTTATCGGCAGTGTAAAAAATTAGACGCAAATAAAAACTACAGCGCGTAAAAACTACCGCGCGTTCTGACAGCAGAAACTGTTATAAATCCAGCTGATGATTGTTATCTTGTTGCGCACTGTTACCAAACGCAGCTTTTACCACTCATCACCAGGTGGCGCAAATAAAATAATAACTTACAACAAGCTTACAACTATTAATGAAGCATATCGATTCTTTGTATTTTTAAAAAGTGGTTTTGTAAAATACATTTTTTTACAGTGGTATTATAAAATTTGAAGCTTGAAAGATGTTTAATTTTTAATTACTTTTTAAAATTTGCTATAAATGGAGTACTTTCTAATTTAAAGGTCAATCGACTTTCTTCAGTGCTGCCAAATTCGTTAAAATTTCTGTTTTCTATCGACTGCTACAGATATTATAAATATTAGCGCTGCTTCGAAGTGCTGCCAATTTAGGTATTTTCCCCTCTAACGCTGAAGTTATTCAAAAATTGATTGTGCAAAAAAATAAAGAAGTGCTGATGATAGCTGAAGTGGCTTTATTACAAAGAAATATCAATAAGCCCTATGTTAGCTACTAAATATATGTTTCAACTACATGTTGGGTGTAGATCTGGCATAACTACGATGCTGTAGGCTTAGTTATTGTTACGTCGACTTTTCATTCTTCTTCTTATAAAATTATTAATGTGAATTTTTGCAAGAACATTGATGACTATGTTTGATTGAGCGAAGAAATTTGTCCGTTATTTTTTAATGCAGATACATGTACGCAAATACATATGTACATGTATTGTAATCGAAAGTTGGTAACACTGCCGCATCGTCATCGCCGTCGCCGCCGCGGTGTCTCTTAATGTGTTCTAATTTGACATCACAATGTTGTTTTTACTCTCTGTTGATGGTAGAGAGACTGCTGATCTGGCATAGCTTGAGGCGCCAAGAATAGAAGAGTGCCTACGCCATTTGCAAGTCAGCATCCGCATCCTCAACGGGCTCATTTACATCACTCCTGATGTCTGGAGCACCATTGACCTACGAGAAAATGAACGGACGCTCCATACGCATTAACCGTGTGCCGGCAACTATTACGGCCGTGCTACTGACCATTGTGCTCGTGTATTTGCTTAACTTCCACCAGGAAGAGCGGCCTGCTCTGTACGGCATGCTCCGTAGCGACAACAAAGTGAACCTACGGAAGATGCTAATAGCTGCCGTTCAGGCGGCCCAGCGCGGTGGCTTCGAGGTGCGTGATGTGGCACATACACGCGAATTGAAGGAGCGCAGCAAAGGTAAAACAGATGAGGGCGCCAACGATCCCTTCACCGATGCAGACGCACGCTCACATTGCGTAATGAAGCAGGGTCTGAAACGCTTCTTTCCACGCGTCCAAATATTCTCTGAGGAGGATAAAGAGCACTGCAAGGATGCGCACATCTTCGATCTGGATCCCACGGTTCTGCACGAAACGGCTGAAGTGCCGGATGTATCTGTGAGTGCGCGGGACGTGACCGTTTGGGTGGATCCGCTTGATGCGACCCAAGAATTTACAGGTAAGTGCCCGGCCACTCTTTTTCTATTGCAAAGTAAAACGTTTCTCTCCCCCCTCTTATCTTTTCGTTACTTCACTAAAGAGGAACTGTACGAGTACGTGACCACTATGGTGTGTGTCGCTGTGGCCGGTCGGCCAGTGATTGGCGTCATACACAGTCCTTTCAGCGGGCAAACCGCATGGGCGTGGCAAGGTAACTCCATGTCGGAATACCTGAAAGGGCTACGTGTCCAGCCACATTCGGACACTGATCATCCAGTCATCACCGTGTCGCGCTCACACACGGCCAGCGCCAAGGAAGTGGCGCGCAGTGCCTTCGGCGACAACGTTAGCTTGCTAACAGCAGCCGGTGCAGGCTACAAGGTGCTCCAGGTTGTCGCCAATAATGCCACGGCCTACCTGCACACTTCCAAAATTAAAAAGTGGGACATTTGCGCAGGCGATGCCATTCTTCAGGCCCTCGGTGGCACAATGACCACTCTTAGTGGCGAGGCCATCAACTATGGTCCGAATGATTCGCCCGTAAATACGGAGGGTCTGCTAGCAACCCTAGAGAAGCACGATGAGTACATTGACAAGTTATCCAAACACCGCTCAGAGAAGACAGCAAAGAGCAGGAGGCGGTAGTAATTTTGTTGAATCTCCCAGTGGAAGCCTAGGCTTACATACATATATTCTAAAAATTAGCATTTACATTTTTTGAAAATGGAACCTGTTTTTGTGTGTTTCTGAGTGCATGTTTGTGAATCTGTATGTATGTGTGCGTGTGCATGTATTAATTCCGTCTCTATCGTGGGTCATGAACCCAGAGAACGATTTGGGCGCGTGGTGCAGTCAATAAAATACATAATAAATGTTCCACGTATGCAAGAATATATAGTATATGTACATATGTATGTATGTGTGTATTTCCGCAGCTGACAACAACAACGCTTCTACTTTTTACTTCGCTCTGGTGATGACGGTGATGCTGCAATCTCTTCTTCTTGCTGCCAGAACAGCTGTTAAATGCCCAGCTGTTCCGGCGTCTGCGCATTTCTGTAAGTGTATGCGACTATGTTTGTGTGAGTGAGTGCTCATGCACTTGTGCTGTTGAACCGCGTTAGTTGGCTGGCGAAGTTGTTGTTGTTTTTGTTTTGTTCAGCGGGGCCGCTGGGAGCAATGACCAGCAGCATCACCGGCTGCAAGCGGACGCACCACATCGAAGTCGAGCAATTGGAGGACGCAGATATTGTGCAGCATAGTCTGCTTTTAATCAAGGGTAGACTGCAGCCACCGGTCTGCGCCAACGCCAAACAGCAGCAGCTGAAGGCAACACTGACGCTGCGTCGCGAACAAGTGGGAGAGGAGGACACGGAGGAGCAAGATCAAGAACAGGAGCAGCTGACGCAACTATCGACTGGGGGAGAGTTCAAATTGCTGTTTGACTTGACAGCAGGAGCTCGTGGCAGTCAAAATCGCGATATTGGCGCTGCCTGCCAGCTGCAGCTTCAGTGCTGCAGTGGCTCCCGGCTCCTGCATTTCGTCTACGAACCGCGACGCAGCGACTATCGTGTGCAGCCGCTGTATTTGGTGTGTCGGGCCAGCGACTCAGACGAGACGACAGCCGAAAGTGCCGAGCAGCAACGCAAGCGCTGCGCCCTCATCGATCTCAATTTGCGTCTGGTGCAGTGCATCTATGCTCACAAGTTGCACGCCGCCGGACACGCTAATCGAACGTTCACATTGAACGGCGCCTGCCGCGTCTTCCGCTCCCAATTAAGCTGTGCGGCGGCACGCCAGAGCAGCGAAGACGAGTTGTGGCAGCACTTCGCTACAGAGATACTCTCCTCCCAGGCCTGGGGACAGCAGTTGCAACTCAAGTTTGTGGCCTTTGTGGGCTGCACACGTTACGACGGCGCCGCAGTTGTGGCCAGCGGCGACTACTCCTATGCAAGCATACGACGTCATCTGAGCGCCCACGCAGCTCTGGGTGGTGGAGGTTTGGCGCTGTTTGGAAGCGCCTATTTCTATGCTTGGCCAAGTACATTTACGGAGATCGGCGACTGCATACGGAGCACGGAGCGTGTGGACTTGACTCGCCTGCCCGATGAGAGCAATTATCGGCGGACCTACGGAGGCGTCTATGCTAGCACCTTGGGCGCCGTTTGCCACGAGCTGGGCCACTGTTTCGATCTGGGTCATACAACCGACGGTGTTATGGGCCACGGCTTCGATTTCCTGAATCGCGTGCTCACCGTTGACCAACCCACAGAGCATTTGCCCAAGCGCGTTCTCCATAAGATACAAAACCCTGAAACTACAATTGCCGGAGCGTCCAGCACAATTGGAACGCGCCCACGATTCACACAACTCAAGTTGAAACAGCAAGCGGTAGGCGGCGGTCCCAGCAATCAGCATTTGGAAAATTATCACGCCCAGCGGCGCAACGACAGCTTCTACTTCGCGCACAACTGCGCCGTTATCCTTGCCCAGCATCGCTGGCTGCAGCCAAACGGCCTGCACTCCAACGATCTATCCAACGTTGCCCGGATCCGATTAGATACGACGAGAGCTGAGATCATCTCCAGTGTGCCACTCCGTCTAATCGAGCTGCGTTGCAATTCAAACAGCCTGGTGGCCCACTACGAGGAGTTTCTCGAAAAGGACGAGCCAGTGCATCGTTTTCAGCTGCCCGCCTCCCTGTGGCATCTGCTGGCCTCGCAGCGCACACATTACTCTTTCGTGCTGAGCGTCAACGGGGATACGAAGCGGTTGGCCTGTGATACACCACTGTTAGAAACTGCAGCTGAAGCAGAGGTGGACAACAGCGGACTTTAGCAGAGTTTGAGGAAGGTAAGCCCAACAACAGGAACGTTTCCCTGATACTCTGTAGTAGCACGTTGTTATATTAAACTGGGGTGTGAGAGAAGGGAGTCTGGGGCTTTAAAAGGACCCGACCATTTTAAAAATATAACAACATATAAGTATTAATTTTTGAACATTTGTACTCATAGGAGCCCGTTACGTTGAAAGTTCCGGATCCGAGCTCTCACTCCCCAGCCCTAATTTCTCCTTGACGGGCCGTCAGCGATATTAAATTCGTTTTCAATAACAATATTGGACATTACATACGCATTTCGCATGATATTAGAAATGTTTTTTACAGATTACCAGTACTTTTTATACCCTGTACCCAAAGGGTACAAGGGTATATTAGTTTTGTACGAGTGCACATGGAACACACAGAAGGAGGCTTGGTATACCTCACAAAGTATATATGTATATTCTTGATCAGCATGACAAGCCGAATCGATATAGCCATGTCCGTCTGTCCGTCTGTCTGTCTGTATGAACGCAAGGATCTCCGAAAGTATAAGAGCTAGAATAACCAAACTTGGTATACATATTGTCCTGAGCCCGAGAAAGGACGAGTTTGTTAATTTTTTCTGATCCCCACTCCCCCCTATTAACGATTGTCTATAACTCCCGTAATTCTTGGAATTTTGAACTAAAATTAGGTAGTCACATTAGGTTAGTGATTATATATCCGTATACCAAGTTTCATTATGATAGAATGATTGTTAATTAAATTAATTTAGTTAATTAATTTAATTTAATTTCTTTTTTGTGGGGTGGTACAGGGTATTTGAGAGTTGAGCCTGCTCGACTTTAGCATTCCTTTCTTGTTTTTAACTACTTCAATCATTGGGAAATATCCTGACTGAAAAATTTGTGTGAAATAAAACATCACTGGTATTAGAATTGAATGAAAAATGTTTGAGTCTGTATATTAGGACATACAAGTATAATCTGGCCTCAGGATTATAAAGATACAATAATTAATCGAGTAGAATGTTGTACCAATCGGTTCCTTGCCAGATATCAGATATATGAAATAGTATATTTGGTATACACATCTTCAACAAAAATATAAAATTCATATAAAAAGAATTTCTCAATTTTTGTGATTTGAAAACGTTCATACTAGTTCTTATGTTTTTTTATATTCTTTTATTTCACACCGTTCCTACTAAGTCCTTTCGCTGGGGCTATAAAAGCCTAAGCCTTATAATAGTGAATATACTACGGGTATCTACCAGAGAACTGCGACGAGTAGTACATTTTCGGTCATACTCGAGTATTTACCCATAATCGGTATGAATATTTCATTTGGGTATAGTGACAAGCGATGACTGGTTGTGATCGAGCCTTCAACGAACACTCAGTTCGAATCAAAACTGCAAAAACTCAGAAGTGAGCGGTTGTGACCGAAACTTTTTGCCCGCATGACCAAAATGTTCGGTAGAGTTTGGGTAATTCTCGAGTCATGGCAACCGAGCAATGATATCGGCGCGTGCACGTGCACTTTATTTTATATCTTTTTTTTCGGCTATATATTCAATAGCACATTCATACACAAGTATATGCATATAAATTAAAGAATCCAACAAAACTATTAGCGAAAAAAAATACCTACCTTTTTATTTAAATAAAAAATAGGTATGCTATTTTAATTTATATTACTTTTTATACTCTGTACATGAAATGTACAAGAGTATATTAGGTTTGCGGGAGCTGAAAAATGTAACAGGCAGAAGGAGGCGTGGCAGACCCCACAAAGTATATATATTCTTGATCAGCATGACGAGACGAGTCGATCTAGCCCTGTCTGTCTGTCTGTCCGTCTGTCCGTCTGTCCGTCTGTCAGTCTGTCCGTCTGTCCGTCTGTCCGTCCGTATGAACACCTGGATCTCAGAGACTATAAGAGCTAGAGACACCAAATTTTGCACAAAGATGCGTTATGTGTGTATTCTATACGAGTTTGTTTTATTTTTTTGATTTTCCCCCCCACTTCCCCCCTATGGGGGTTTTCCCGATTTTCCATTCGTATAATCGCCTATATCTCGGAGGCTATAAGACCTAGGAACTCCAAATTTTAGTCCCAGATGCCTTATGTGAATACGCAGAAAATGTATATTTGGGAATTCCCCTCCCTCCCCCCTCTACCCCGCAAATCGTAACTCCCGTAATTCTTGGAATTTCGAACTAAAATTTTGGAAATACCCCCAGTTGGTTATTATGTGTCCGTATGCCAAATTTCATTATGATAGACCGATTTAACAAGAAGTTATAGCCATAAATATATTTGCTGATGCAGCGCTGCTGCAGCGCTGCTCAAGCGCTGCCCGCGGCTGTTGTTGATGTTGCTGTTTGGTTGACTGCGAAAATGCTTACACAGACACGAATTGATGCGCATAGGCATACATACACTCACACAGACGCAATTGCTATGTAAATGTGCACTTATACACCCTTTACGTGAGTTCGAATACCGAGAGAGGTAAAATCGATCAAATTTTTTTTTTTATTTTCTTAATTTTTTTATTTTCTATAATTATTGTAAACATATGTACAGAGTATTTCAAAGTCGGGACACCCGACTTTAGCTTTTTTACTTGTTTTGAGTACCTTTTTTAAGAAATAAAATCATGATGTACATACATGTGCTTTTATACTCGAGTAATACCCGAGCATAACTCGCACAATACCCAAACAATACTCGAGCAATAACGGTACTATACTCGTTCGATCGAACACTCATTCTCTAAAGTCCGGTTTGTTTCGCTCAGGACCCAGTCATCTTCAACGAAGTGACCGAGCCTGAACTGTTTGAAAGCAAACCAATAACGTCCGGTGCTTGTTCGTAAAAATAGAGCGATGGCTCATTCAAGTTCGATCTTAAGAAAAATGCTGAGAGTACTCAACTCGTTCGAGCTCATTTGCAGCCAAGCAAAGATCTGATTTGATTGAATTTTCAGCAAGGGTAGTCGAACATACTCGTTACAGTTCTCTGGTATCTACGTTTCTTTGTGGACCGCGAAGGTTTTATGTAAACTTTAAGCATTAAGTGTTAATGTTATTCGGTTTGTAGTGAAGAAGAACACTCTCTGATAATAAGGGGGAATACGTTGTCTCTTTTCCTTTATGGTGTGAAAACGTAATAAACTTTGGAATTTTGCATTACTTCCAAAATGATTCATATACACAACCGGTACGGCTGGGGGTATCCCTTTGATGTTCCATTAAATCAGAAATATAACTTATATCTGTTTATTCACTCGCCAACACATCAATTCGCTGACTCACTCAATAGCGACGACGACTTATCTTGTCGAAACCCAATCGCTGGTGGGTTCGACAGTTCAGCGTATGATCGAGAGATGGAAACAAGTTCTAGTTTTTATGTATGTATGTATGTGCATATGTACATATATGTCGCTATAGCCGATCATTCATGTCATGTGCCAAGAGAGCATTTGTGGTTGTCTGTATTTGTGTGTCAAATGGGTGAAGCGCTCGTTCGCTCTCTACCCAAAACTCGCATTTGCTTCGAGCGTCATTATCGACGCACACAGCTCGCGGTTCGATAATGGAAATACCTTGATAAGATAATAAACAAATCAACACAATTTATGCCCGAAAGTAGTAAAGTAGTAATACGTTTGTTTTCATTTTAGTCTCCTTCCTGGTTAGGTGATAATCACTGTTTTGCCTATTGCCTAGTTGTCAACCTTTCTGATTGAAAAGTGTAATTTCAGACAATTTCGTGTGTGCGTTCTGGTCCTAGTCGTAGAGCATCCTTTTTAGCAGCAACGACAACAACAACATGAGTACGCCAGCAACACCGAGAATACAATTCAAAAGCCTTAGGGGTTTTCCGCCGACAACGTCGAACGCGGAGGAAAAAGTGGAAACATTGCTATTTATAAATGCAGCGAAGGAAGTTGTAGCCGTAATTGGTGAGGATGGAAGGATCCCATATAATCCAATGGCGCAAGCCAGAGTAGTATAACTCTCTCCTAAAATTTACAGAAACTTTTGGCAAACTATTTACGCCCGTGATTACCGACATGAATGGCAATATTAATGTAAGTAAGAACTTCGGCCCAAGAAATCTCAAAACACCTCGAGATGATCACGTTTTTGATTATGCCCTGTACCCAGAGGGTGAAAGGTGAATGTATATATAAAAGAGGGACTGGAAGGTATGGCTGTGGACACAATGTTATGGGAGTCGAATCGATATAGACATGTCCAGACATGTTCTTCCGTTTGAGCCCCAAAAACCTTTGTTCGTATCTTATTCATACACAGACCAAATTTATTCAATATTTGGAGCTTTATTAATTATTATTATAGTCCCGCTTCTTGCTTTAAAACATTCGAAGAATCTTACCAGGAAATCCATCCGTTTTCTTTAACTAGAAACTAACAAAAGCATACAACGTGGATCCGCTGAAATATAAATATCTGGAGGATTTGATAATATTAAACGTGGACATGGATAACTTTGCGGCGAATGCGCTACTGTGGTTAAAGCGCGGCCTGCAACTGATTTGCACATTCTTCGAGAACATCTACAACGATGCACAAAACAAGGAAACGCTCAAGCAGCATCTACAAGATGCCTATGAGCGAACACTAAAGCCCTACCATGGATTCATTGTTCAGAGTACGATTAAGGTAAGGCGCTGCGGATTGCACTTATGCCTCTGATCACTGTCTTCATCCTCCTTACAGATCATTTACAGCTGGGTGCCCACTCGTAGTCAACTCCTCGGCCAGGGCGCCGCTCATGATGAGAACATACAGACGCTTTCCAGCTATTTGCCCACAATGCGCGACCATCTGGACCGGATCGATGCCCTACTCAAGGCACACAACTTGGACGATGAGCGCAAAGTGTAACGAACATGGATCTGCCTATATATTAATCCCTACACTACTGCCCCTAGACACTAGTTGTATGTGTAACCCCAAAGCTTAGCTTTTTTAAATTTTATTTTATGTATTGTACTGTACTTAAGTCTAAGACATTATCTGCAAGCATCCGCTTGCACACATAACTCAATAGCCTGAGGAGGCCAGTAGTAAACACATTTTCTTATAGTCAGCAGCAATAATCACCACGACTTATTAGTCCGTAGGGGACGCGTCGGGCGTGGATGTGCCGCCCGATGAGGAACGCGGTTTGGGGATGGTGTAGACGGGAATACAGGATTTTTCAACGATTCCTGGCGTTTCTTACTTCGCAAGCAGGCATAACGTAGCAGCACAACCAGTGCCTCCAGCCCAATGAGCACGAATAGCACATCCGACATATACTGAAGGAATAGGGTCTGGGTGCGCGAAACAAGGCGCAGATAGAGAAGCGAAGGTAGCAGCACAAACGGCGTCAGCGTCAGCAATAGCCACATGGACGCAATCTGCTGAGGAATAGAATAGTAGAATAGTATTCAGGAGGATTATAAGGTCTTCTTCAATTTTCATTTACCCCGTCGCACAGGTTAACCGTGTAGCCGGCATAAAGGCGCGCCGCCTCAGAGCAACCGGCAAGGACAAAGGCCAAAAACGTTGCAAGTCCTTCATAGTTCCATAGATCATGTAGCTGGCAAAACACTAACAGTTGAAATGGACTGTGGGTTGCTGGACCCATGTAACACTTACGTTCAAAAGCAAATAGCCCAGATAGCTAACGGTCCATAAAATCGAGGTGTAGACGTTGCTCTGCAACATTATCTGCAGAAGCAGATTGGCCCGATGTGGCTTAACTATGAGGAGCATTTGTGAAAAGAAAATTGATTAGGAATTTCATTGAATTTGTCAAAGAGCCCTTCGCCAACTTGATTGCACCTACGTCCTTCTTTAAAATCCATGTGCAACTAGTCCGTACTAGCACGAATTACAAGCATAAGGACAACATAACCTAAGGACGTAGTCATGGTTCTTATTACAAAGCCGTTGCTATAGTAACCAAAAAACCCTCAACCACATGAATAATCGAAGCAAAAAAGTTATTCTCGTTGAAGCATTCCATTCTTGTTGCTGCGGGCCCATTAACAAGACGAAAAGAGGGAGGGATACCAAATTTGACTTGAGTATATACTTTCCGAGTCATACACACATGAGTTTATCAACTCAGCTCACTAACCAAGAATATACTACGCATGTATCTATATACTATACAAGAAAACTCCCATATTTCACTCCCAAATCTTGGAATTTTTCTGAGAGTATACAAACCTAAGTTTAAAGTTAAACAGGTGAAAATTGTAGATTTTTCATACAAACTTTGGAGCTCGATTTCCCCCCTTTGGAGCTCGAATTTTGCAAAATCCCTTCTGAGTGGGCACCTACACTATGAAAGGATACTTAAGTCCAAATTTCAGCTTCCTAGCTTTTACCGTTTGAGCTGTACGTTGATCACCAATCAGTCAGTCAGGACAAACGGTTTTATACATATAGAGATTACGCTGTCTTCCTGGTGTTACATAAATTCGCATTTAACTAGGTTACCCTTTTAACCATGAAGCTCAAGTTATAAAGCGATTAGGGATCTCCAACTCCGCCCTCCTTCCCCCACTCTCTATCAATGTGCGGCGGGCTCTAGAATTGACATCATATGATTTGGAGGTAGTTGGTGTCAATCCCGGCCCCACAATGTTAAAGCACATCTATTGCATTAGTCGCGGCTGATTATCGTCACAGTTGCTGCGAAAGCCCAAGAACCTGCTAAGAAGAAACAATTCCACAATTCCACAGCATATCCAACACAGTCTACACGCCCATATGAAGTGTGTTCTGAAAAAACGTTTGTGGCTGAATATTATTTTTCTAAGTGCGCTAATACCGAGTATCTGTGGACAATCGGAGAAGGAACGGTTCTTCCAGTGCTATCAGTCGCGTTTGGTGGGGCAGACGGATTGCTCGCCCCAGGCCGAGTTCTATGTATTCAACAAGGATCCCAAACATAGACGCTGCGAGCATGTCAATGGGCGCTGCTACCAATTTCGAACCGTTTTCAAGACCGCGAGAGACTGTGAGATTATGTGTCGGCCATACATAATGACCAAATCGGTGGGGCGCACTCCCTCGCCAATTGCCACGACGAAATCCGCGGCCGCCATAACCACCCCGAAATCGACAGACTTTGAGGTCATCACCTAGATTTTACGCACAACATCACCTCCATTAAAGCCGCCAAGGCAACAACAATGCAATGAGTCAACATTTATTAATTAACAAAGTGCTGGGTAGCTCATATGGCAACTGGAGTGTATGTGTATGATATTCAGATTATGATAGGGTGATAGATCCTCTCTAATAAGGTACACTGGTATTCAAGGCCACTTCCAAGGCATTTACTGTAAAAATAAAAAAAAGAGAAAGATAGAGCCGTTGTTTAGTAACATTTTCATGAAACCCTAATGTCGTAGAGAAATTGTTGCCAATTTTCCACTGTTTAAGAGAATAATTTATAGTACACCTAATTCTGTTTTTACACGGTAGATTGGTTCCAGAAACAACCGTGTAAAAAAGACATTGATCATATGCAAAAACAGGCGATTGGATCCTTATCTCTAAAGAAATATGTATGAAATTTGTAATTTTCAAACCGTGTTATATCAAAATCGTGTAAAAAAAAATACCGTGTGAAAACAGAATTAGGTGTATACGATATTTAAGTAATACTTACAAAACGTATGATCTCCCTTGTAGACGAGATTGTGCAACACCTTGGCCAACATCTGGTGACAGCGTATGTAAGTCATTTCGATTTCGACAACTTGGTTGAGAGCCAAATATTCCATGGCATGGGTGCTGTTATTGTGGCTGGTATTCGATAGGGTTTCGTTTTTGTCATCTGTCTCTATGGTGAGCGCGTGAGATTTATTCAGATAATTACTACAAGAGATCCACTCCATGTCCAGCACAAAGACCAAGTGGAACAGCTGCTCCAATGCAATGCGAAAGTCTGCGAATTCGGCCGTGAGTAGACAGTGCTTGGCTAACACGTTTATATACTCGTTGTGCATCGTGCTCAGCTCACCAATGTTGGTGCACTTGGGCAACTGGCGCATGAACTGCTCGCCCATGGCCTGCAGCACGTGAGTGCAGAGATGTGTGTGCAGACTGTTGACGATGTACATGAGCCAGAAACGCAATATCTCCAGGCGGCGCACGGTCAAGCCGAGCAGATCAAGTGGGGCATAGGGATCGCGAGAGTCTGCTCTTCTTATAAACTTAAGATTCTCCAGTTTCCATGCCGCCCATTTGACTTTAAGCATTAGGCGCCATATGCTATTATAAAGAACCATATTGTCAGCACTAACGATGCGCTGTATCGGTAGCTCCATGTCGTAGACTAGTTCAATGGCATCCACTGCCTCGTATACTTTACTTGTGTTCGCCCGCACCTTCGAGACCAATTCTAGGTGCAGCTCGCCCGCCATGGTGTAGTGGGGTGCCACAATATCGTACAATTCCATTGTGAGCAGTGAACTGTGCGCCCAGTGCTGACCCTTCTCTATCTGGCGGAAGAGATTCGTGTAGAATGGATACACCAGATAGTCGGCCTCCAGCAGCATGAGATGGCGCAGGAAACGCACGTGCTCGCCAATCTGTAGCTCATCCCGATACAGCTGCATGGTGAAGGCCTCAGCGAAACGGCGACGATGCTGCAATAGCAGCGTCAAAACACGAACCACCATATCCTGCAACAGCAAGCTCATGGGCGTGCAACGCTCGATATAGGCTAACAAATCGCACGCATTGCCAGTCAACAGGTCGTCCAATGTCACCCTTTCCTTCTCCAGCATCTGCGCCTGTTTCTGTACTTCATAGTTCTCTATCGAGCGACAGATGATGCTCAGCAGCTCCCTATTTCTTATAATGGACATCTCTTGATTCATTTTTTTCGCCTGTCCGCTCCAGTCCACCTCAGGAATGGAAATGTCCTTGTCGCATTGCGTTGGAAGGAGCAGGTCTGCACTGCTGGCATCATTGCGATATTCGTTCAGTTCCCCGCAAACAGCTCCCACGAGATCGGTGTACAAATTACGCTGCTTCAGATTGTGTCCGCTGGCCAACATGTTCCCCAAACGATTGAGGCGTGCCAGCAATTCCTGTGTTTCGGCAGATTCCAGAGCGTGCCTCCGCAGCACTTGGTACATGGGGCATTGCTCTACCTCCTTCACAATGGGCCCAGTGCCTACCGTTATGCCTTGGTCGATTTGTTCCAGTTGGCGCAGGCTAATACTGATGTGAGAATCGGTTAGCTCGATTCTGTGTGGGAGACAATAATGATTGTTAAATGTGTATTCTCATAAAACGCAGTTAAAACTTTCCTATGGCATATACATATGTATATCAAATAATAATGAAGCTATATAGGATTTGTGATAAGCTTGCATAACAGATCAGATAAGTCCCCAGTTGATATAATTAAAAACGTCACGGAGTTCAGACTGACGAACAGACTGTAATAATATACTATATGTACCTCTAACATGGGGTCAAGCTACACCTCCTCCTGCCAGTAACTCTGTGTATGAATGAGACAACTCTACATACCAAATTTGGCATCTCTAGAATTTTTCAAAGATCCCAATTTTTATACCGACCCCATTGTTTGGAGCCTGCCACGCCGTCTTCCTTATATCCTTGCTCTTCTTTGTAAGTTTCTGTACTATTATATATAGGAAGTCATGCAAATATAATTGTCTTAGCTTATCCTATAATAGCTGTCAATAGCAACTGGAATCCTTAGCCAGGCTGTGATCCTTTAAATGGTTTTATTGTAGTTAAGTCGTAAAAGCAGGCGGGCACGTTAACTATTGATTAAGCAGTAGGATTACGCACCGTTCCACAATAAACTCCCTCCGCCAATCTTCGAGTTCTGCTCGACGCCACCACCCATCCATGATGCCGCAGTAAAATTTCATAGAACTTAGCAAAAGGGCGGTGGCCAACTTCTGGTGCGTTCTTCCCATCCGCATCTGTTTATAAAGACGCGACAGCAGGCAGCAACTGCGCATGTGAGGCGGCGCGCTCTCCGCGTCGACGACCACCTGCTCCGCAATGTGCCAGAGTATGTTGAGTTGGGTGAAATCGTGCCGCATATAAAGAATGAAGGCTATCAGCGAAGCTTTGTCGTCATCGTCCAGCAGGCGACGTTCAAACTTCAGCAGTCGCTTGGTAATGGGCTGGATTAGTTGGCGGAGCGCGATGGCAAAGCACTCGAGGGTGCCGCATGTGGGCAACACTGTGTTCTCGGCAATCATATGCTGCAATTCTGCCATGGATTGCATAGCAGGCAGTATGCATTCCTTAAGAGTTGTATTGAGAGTAGTCTGAAAGCAAATATATGCATTAAAAGGGGGGCGAGCGGCAAAGATCGGCTGCAGGTCTACTTACGACGGTTACGCTGGGCACGGTGACATTATCACGCACAGTAATGCGGCCACTCTCCACGATAAAGAAGCAGCAGCTGGCGGGCCTGAAAAACATAAAGATGATTTCTCGCAGCATACAGTTCTCGGTGATAGTCTTCGGCAGTGGATAGTCGATCATGTGGCAGGAGTCCTCGCGCTGAAATTGGGCGAAAGCAATCGCGAAGTTGGCGAGTGGTAGCAGATTGTTCTGCTGCACACAAACATGCAAATCCGGTCGCCACCAATACGAGTGGGCAAGCTTCAGTAGTTTTTCTGGCTGGGGAATGGCTTTGACCATGCGTACAAGTTCCTTTGGCGGCTCGAGCTGCGGTAAAGGCGGTAATCTGTGCCACTTCGAGCTCGGTGTGGTCGTTTTAAGCACCAGAGTCAAGGGCTGCATTATATCAAAGTTTTTTTTACGGCTACCCGACCCATTGCTGTTGGGCACGTAGGCGGTTGAGTCGCGTGGATAGTTCATGGCAAGCTCATACACTTCTGCCATGTCCTTCAGACTCAAACTGGTCAGCGAATCCAGTACTGCGGGCGGACTTGAGAACTCGTCACTCGCATTGCTCTCAGACTCGTCCTACATTGAAAAGGTGAGTAAAATTGTTTCTACGAATAGATATTTGACCATCAGTGATTGACTTACAATAAAGCAGCTATCATTGCTTTCTGTATCCGAGCTGTTGCTTGCGTTGGGTGCGGGTAATGACAAGAAATCTTCTTTCAGCAGCGCCTCCCAGTTAACATCCGGCTCTACAGTCGGCTTAGGAAGGGATTTCAACGGCGGTTTTACTGCCTCTAGTATTGCTAAACGAAGTTTTTCCATCTCTAATCTATTGTTGCGAATATTTTGAATGGGCTGATAGGTCATTGTGATTAAGAAGTCAACTATTGACCACTGCACGTCCACCTCATAATGATCCTTCCATTTAGGATGCTCCAACATTAGTTTGCACAAATGCTGCATAGTTGAGGCGTATTCGGGCATATTTTCCATATTAAGGCGTTCGATTAATCCCTCAATATCACGACGCACGGCATGGCTGTTTGTGCTCAGGAAACGATGGTTCCGTATATGATTCCAAGCAAGGCTCTCATATGAACGATACACCGCAGGCTTCGCCTATACGCGAAACATTTACATTAGCAACAAACACATTTGATAAACAAGAAAAGCAGACTTACAGTTGGACCAACAAAATGTTTTACTAAACGCTGGACGTTAAGCGCCAACAAGCGCTCACGTTCTTCCATTTTTCAATAATAAACAAATAAATAAAACCATAAGTGCAGAGTACTCAAAAAAAACCAGTGTTGCTTAACACTCTTCGCGGGACGTTGCCAGATATTTGCAGGCTTGAACTAATAGTAGATGTAAGAAGTAGCAATGGATGCAGCAGGTCCCACTTATGTAGTGCTCGGCTCCGGCGGCCATACGGCCGAAATGTGCCGCATTAACGAGGCACTGCGACTGGCCAACCACAATGACGGTGCTTTTGCACAGGTACGATATATTGTGGCCCAAAGCGACACAACCTCGCAAAGCCAAATGTGCAAAGTCGTACCTTCTGCACAGGACAGGGACTTCATCCGTGTGCCACGGAGTCGTGAAGTGGGTCAGAGTTGGCTGAGCAGCATCTTCACCACCCTGTGGGCTCTGCTGTGGAGCTTCTGGCTGGTATGGCGCGACCGGCCACAACTGCTGCTCTGCAACGGACCCGGCACCTGTGTACCCTACTGTTACGTTGCATTCCTCCTGCGTCTGCTGGGCCGTTTACCCGCCACCACCAAAATTGTATTCGTCGAGAGCTACTGCCGCGTGAAGACACTCTCGTTAAGCGGGCGACTTCTTCTGCCACTTGCGGACATGTTTGTGGTGCAGTGGCCGGCTCTGGCGACGCGGTACGAGCACAAGAAAAATTTGCGTTATTTCGGACGCCTTCTATAAATATTTATAAGATTTAACACAGGGCTTGCAATTCCATATACAAGTATATTTGTACATGTACATATACCGATTACCCTTGTCCATTAATAATAAAAACAATAATTTAACAGTAACCTATCAAATTTTTACTTGTTACTTCTATGCTTAAAAAATAAACAATACAAAAAATATAAATTCCATAAGTTTCTTCAAATATATGTAACGCCTAACGGTAACGCCTGCGTCTTCTTCTGTTTGAACAGTTTCTAGCATGCAAGTCTACCTCGGAACCCGGCATCTCTTCACCACAGAATGGACACCGAATACGTATTTCCTCACTGCCACTTTGGGCAGAACCTGTACTTGAGGAGCTTAGGTTAGCTTCGGCTATTTCGGCATCGGTATAGCCATACTTCTGTAGTTCCTTGCGCACTGAGTTGCGTTTTGGGCGTCCCTTAGCTACGTTTGTCCCTTTTTTAGCCTTTGGTTTTACTGAAGGTGGTGGAATTCTTATAGTAATACTACAGCCCTCAAGATGATTCTCGAAATCTGAGCGCTTCATGCTTTCAAAGCAAATCGGACACGAGGTAATATCGTTAGCCGCGTCGTGCTGATAACGTGAGCCGCTGGGCACGACATCGTTATCCCGCTGAAACTCCTCCATCAGTGTGTCCCTCCCGAAAATGTCATTTATGACCGACTGATCGGCAAGCTCGGAGGCGGCAGAAAGGTTGGCATCTGTTTCCGCTTCGGCATCGGCATCATCGTCGAACTCGTCGTCTATCATGAAAATATCTTCGTCACTATAGAGTAGCCGCTCATCCTCCATTACCTCGCGCTTAATAATCATGGTGCGTTCCTGGCTGGTCATTTTTTGGCGTCCAGGCGGATCTGACGGCTCATTTTCACCGTCGCTTTCACTGTCTGATATACAAATAGTTGGCACCTTGACATCTCGGACCAGCACATCATCATCGTACGATTCCCAAACAGGAATTGCGTCATCCTGGGTAAGGCGACGGCGCTTTCGTGCGGCCTCCGTATCCCCATGATCTTTGTCAGCCTTGGCTTTCTCATTACCAAATCGCTTGGACCACACTTCGCGCATGTGGTCACGATCCACAGTATCCTGAAGTGGCTTTGGATCGCCATTGCTCAAGCTGTATCCTTGGCCAGTCATGCCTCTATTGGCTGCCTGCTCGGAAGCACCGCGCTCACCATCACTATTAAGGTCTCCGAATCCTATTACATTGCTTAAGTTGCCGGCAGCTACAGGCTTGACGTTGGCAAACGGATCATTGGACTGACCCGGATACGAAGTGGGCGGGAAAGCATTAGATATGGGCCCCGCCTTTGGTGGTTGATTAGGATTATTTGGTTTCTTGAAGCTCGCAGAGCCGCCATCATTCCCAAAGAACTTGCGTATGTCGGCGACATTGGAATTGACTTCTTTCTTTGTGGCATTTGGCTTCTTAGATTCTGCTTTAGAAGCAGGCTTTGGCTTTGAGGGCTCACTCATTTTGACGAAAGTCCCGCCACACTCGCGTTGGTGTTTCTCCCACCATTGATCACTGGGGCCTGGGGCTCGATTACAGGTGCGCTTCACCCAACCCTGGAAAGGATTGTGGTGCTGACAAATGCCATTGCAGCGCCATATGTGGGTTTTGTATACATTCACCTCGTCGTGAAAAGTATGATATACCTGTGGAGAGAGAAATTTTGCTTATCTGTCGTCAAACCTGAGCTGATTGTTACCCACCGTTATATTAGTGCCCGCTACCTTGTTAATGGTGTTCATGATACGCTTGAAGTTGGGCCCATGGCCGCCATTGCCTTCCTGAATGTTGAGAACAAAGCAGTATGCGTGGATCATTTCATGTAGAAGCGTCTCGACCAAATCTTTGCGTGGGCGCAGCTTTAAAAGGGGCGCACTAAGGCGAATGACAATATCCTTGATTAACCGGTTGCCACGCTGATAGCAAATGCCAGCACAGGAGTACATGCGCTTGCTCCACTCGACCCTAACGGCGCCCAGACGGTCCTGAAAGAATCTCTGATCGAAACGCACAAACATGGCGAAAACATCTGGAGTGGGGTCGACCAGTTCCCACTCAGGATGCACAAGGTTCTGCGTGTGATTAAGATAATCATCGTCAATGTGCGCCGTCATGCTGCTCTTGTCCTTGGTACTCGGAGCTGACATCTGTGGACGCGGTGACTTCGGCCGCGCTATGTCACCCAGCGCCTGTGTCTGTAAACGAGTAAGCGAAGGCAAATCGTAAGTTCACTATATAGGCACAGAAGCGTATAATACCAACGAGATTTACTACATCCTTTGGAGAGGATTCGACGAGATCACCATCACTTGAAGAGGGGTCGGCTTCTGCATTTAACTCCTTCTGTAGCCGTACTGCCAAATCATAATCAGACTCATGTGCTTTTGGTATGTCCTGTGACTAATGGAATTAATTTATAAAAATATAGATCAACAATCTGAAAGAACGTTGCTATTTACGCGTCGGACTTCATTTAATGCTGGCTGTTGCTTCTCATCCGCATCGCCCTCGCAGCTTTCGCCATTCAGCATACGCTGCAGTCTAAGAGCGAAAGCATAATCGTCTTCCTCGTTGGCCATTTTCCGCAAAGTTTCCCTCACGGAACGAGAAAAAAAACTGGAACTCTTTCAATTTTGCAAGAAATTCGCGCCCGACTTTGTTGTTGACGGAACTCACCTGATCGATCTAGTGTGCAAAAACGACGGATTGGCTTACAAGCTGCCACTCTTTTCTATATTGATACGCATACGCTGGCAAGGCTGGTTGCCTTGCATGAACAAGTTTTCAAACTGAACTGTCTTTGAATAAGTGTCCGCGCACGATTTTGTTTGCTCGTGAATTGTCGGCGTTGCAAATTATTGAATTTTTGCTTTTAGGGTAATTTTAGTGAATATATAATATTATTTTTCTTATTTCGTGTTGATTTTTCTGACGGCTTAGCGTGTCTGTTTCAGTTCAATACAAAATCAGTTTTTGCGTGTTCCAAGAAAATTAAAATTTTTTAAGTCTTGTGTGACATGGATGACAAAATAAAAAAATTGAGTGAAATGTTCTCGCAATGTGTTGTTGTAGACAACAGACAAAGCATTACGATTGACTTTCAAGAAGTCATGCGAAATTTACAAATAGTTGATAAAAACGGCTCTGGCGAACAAAACAGACCAAAAGAAATCGGCATGGATTTGGACTCACGCCAAGTCACTATTGAAAAGCAAGCGTCTGCTCTGGACTTAATCAAAGCTGGATCAGTGGATAGTGATGATATTGTTCGCCGCGAATTGCAGTTGGTGGCTTTACTCCCACCGGGAGTAAGTAACGGAAGCAGAGGCTTGCTCACTCAACAACGTACTTACGTTTTGGATATGCTGCGCGGCGGGCTTGACTCTAATAAAATTTCCGTAAAACTGCTAGAATGCCTGCCCTCATGTATTAACTTCCTCTTTAGAGGCGATCCTATAAATTGCACGATGGTGGAAGAAATCATGCGTTTCTCGAGTCTGAAAATGGCTGCAGAAACTACAACTGTCAACGAAAATAGTAGCGAAGTGAAAGGTTAGTGTATTTATAATTCGACTCAAATGGGAATCTTCCTAATCTTGTCTATCTTTCTCTTTTCATTATCGGCTTCACAACGTCATTCAAAAAGTGGCGCTAAAGTTACTCGCCCAAATGGTTCTGATGAAGCCGTGTCGTCTGATTGGGACTAAGCGCAAGAACAGCTACAATGTCTTCGATGGCTGTTCGTCTTCCAAATCTGCTAGAGTCACGGATCCGGTACCCAAATTCGTTGGTAGGTTTGATGGTGCAGCGCTAGCAGGATCTCTAAATATTCAGGATTTTAAGGCAGGCGGAAGCACTGGCCCTATCTCGTCACGTCTAAAGTATAAGCTAAACAAACCACCTGCTTGGCGCCCTCAGTTGCAGTTTAGCAGCAATCAAAAGGATATAACCGAGGGTAGAGAATGGTTGCGAGCTTGCGAGGCTCAGGGAAATCATTTTCAATTAAACGTGCAACGCTCTTTGTGCCCTTCCAATATGAACGGCCCACCGCATGGCTCTGTAAGCTATTTTCATCATGCCCAGGAATTTGCCTTATCCGGTACTCCGGAATTATTTCGCTTTGTTGCCAGACAGGCATCGGGTCCTGAAGCTAAAGTTACTGAACTGCCGTCAGAGCTATCCAAGCCGCAAAACGATTAAAGCATTAGCATGGCCTAGAACATGTCTCTAATTTATATTACAAGCTATCCTTAATATATTTAAATATATAGATTACTAGACATTGCCACACTTTGTATCTTATTCACATTTGACGTAAAGAAGAATTCAATTCGGAGTTATAAACTGCTAGAAATCAAAGCAAAGCTAAGTCTACATAATATGTACGTCAAACAATAGAACATTAATGATCTGAACATTTGTTTTTAAATACTAGAGGCTTTGAATACCTTAAAATACTCGTATCCACACGCATAATTAAATTCATTTATTTGAAAACATACCTGATACGAAAAAAATAAAAAATCTGGTTAAAAGAACACGTCCGGAATCAACTTATTTAAACTATTGCATTAACAGCAATGCTAAATCTTAGAAGTTATCTTCTGAATTACTTCGTATTCGTTATATTCTGCAGTTTTATCAGAATCAGTGCACGATGTCATATACAGCCGAGGGCATAAGTATTGTGACAAAATTTAACGCTATGTTTTGCGTTTTACTTTGGCGAATTGTACCGTTATACAAGTATGTTAGCGGTTCTTTTATCTTTCCAAAGCACATTGCATGTGAGCAATGTAAGTGTGTAAAGTATTTTTTTTTTTTTCAATTCCTTTATGCGTTTCTTTGAGTTTCGCGAGCTGATAAGAGCTGGACAAAAGTATTTTGACATTCTCTCTATTTAGTCTGTATTGATATGCTTTTGAGCTAAAGCTTAGCTTTGCGGCTGAAATTCATGAATAACTGATTGCAAGTGCTGATAAGAACCATTTTGGTTCAATGGTTTCAATGGTTTAAAAATGGGTAAAATAAAAGAATGAAGTGAATTTGTTAAAAATGATATGGTGGCGAAGTATAACTCAGGTATTTCCGTAAATAATGTCAGTAAATTATACAATATACAATTACAAAATATATATACATATACATACATATGTAAAAAAAAACCACACCACAAAAAACGCGGCACGTTGTGGCAGATCGCGTGAGCCAACAGAACAGAATGATCGTTTTATTCTGCGTCAGTTTAAGGATAATCCGTTAGAAACACCTAAGACTGTTGCAATGCAACTAACTAACTACACAAAAATTAATTATTATTAATTAGCGAAAAGACAGTACTCAGAAGTCTTAAAGAAGCTGATTATGGCACCTGTGTATGTTGCTAGAGCTATGTCCTTGACCATTAAAAAAGTTATAAACAAAATCGTATGGTAACTTCCTTTGCAAAATACTTTTGCCGTTGGCTGTAGAAGGTAAAGATCTTTCTAGAATATGTATCGTCAACCAGGCATCAGCTGATGCTTTAAATTGTAAAGGGTTATAACTTTGTTTGGAATAGATACACGAACACCAAAAGCTAAATGCAACAATAAATGCAGCTACTCTGGTTTCCATTAGTTACGATTACCAAGTATGTACATACATATGTATGCATATAGCGAGTTTTCGACTTTGAATCAAAATGGCGGCCACATTTTCTACTCTGCTTTCTACACATTCGTCCGCCATTGCCAATGCTACTGCTATCGTCTTTTGCTTGAGTCCCTTCTGTCTGTCGTCTATGCATATGAACATATGCATGTACAGGGTGCGCCATCTTTTATGTCGGTATGTAGATATTGAATAACTTTGTCATTACTGAACCGATTGACTTGAGTAGACCAGTGTTGAAAACCTCAGTTCAAGAAATTGTACAGAACCAAATTAAATAAAAATATCTCATACTTGAAAATCGGTTGTTTATTTTCAAGGATATTCAATGTTTGCATACCGACATAAAAGATGGCGCACCCTGTACATACATGTGTGTATGTATGTATGAATAAATATATATGTATGTACATACATATGTACATATATTCATCAGATATTTTTAGATGCGGCCATTGTGGCATCGCGCGGCTTTCACCCACACACAAACACACATACGAGTGGCGGGCACGATGTGGGCGCTTCGGACCAAATTTTTGCACGAAGATCCTCAGCGCAAGTTGCAATTAGCGGCTATTGAGCGGCGGCGACGCGTTTGGATCAGTTAACGGATAACCGGCGTGTGGCGCAGTCGAGCTTAGGTTAACAATTTTGCGAATTATGAAGTATTTGACAAAACGGCAGCGTAAGCGCAAAAAAAAGATGCAAATATATGGTCGTAGCGATTCGAACTATCACCGTGCGGCCTTAGATAGCGAAATAGAAGAGGATATGGATACAGAAACGGATACCGAGGAATTGGAGACGGAGACCGAGGCAGAAGTGGACAGCCCCGATAATAGTAACGAAGTGGAGCAAAATAGTTCGAGCAGTGTTGAAATTGAAGAAAATGATGTTGACAGTTCGACATTAGCGTCATCCTCGCTGTCTTCATCGTCCTTTTCATCTGTCGCTTTGGTGGCGGCAGTACTTTCGGCTCAACATGCCCCAGAACAGTTAAGCGAAGAGCTAGACTATTCCCATGATACATCGACGTCGGCACAGCCACAACTTATACAAAGAATACATGAAGCGGTAATTAAGACGATGACAACAACAACAGCATCAACGCTAGCTACAGGCAACAATTTAAGGCAACAGCTTCAGCCTCAGCCACAGCCGCAGCAACAACAACAGCAACATCTGACAAATTTTGGTAAGTGGTTCTTTTTTGTCTTTAAATACATATAAATATGTACATAAGTATATATTTTATCCGTTTTTTTTTCTGTAAATGTAATGTATGTATTTACCATCTACACAAAAATAAATAAAGAATTTACTCATACAATTGCAATGCATGGCACTAAATGCAGCGACAGACCGTCTATAGGCTCAATTTTCATTGGAAGACGACTACTTTTCAATTCATAAACAAACAAAATCAAGTAAATTTGCAAACAACTCCAATAATAACAAGCAATTGAAACTATACATTTATCTTGAACTGAGCGCGCGCCTAACAAAGAGAGTCGGATGAGCTGCCGTGATGGTGCAACAAGAGAGAGAGAAAGAGATGGACTGTTAATGAGTGGCGATGCGTGTATGTGTAGCGCCGCTTTGTGGGCTACAATGGCGGCTAGAATTCCGTTATTCTGCGAAATTTTTTTCTGCTGTCTACGTTTGCTGTTGTTGTGCAGCGGCGAGTCAGCTTGTCTTCTGTTTACAATTACAGGGTACTTCAGGTGTTTTCTAGATATGTATGTACATATGTATGTATGTATGTATAAATTCTTGCTCATATTGCAGCTTTGAGTGAAATTTACAATTGGAATTAAATACAAATGCATTTTGTATGCGTTATACATATGGACATTACTAAAAATAATAACGATCTTCAAGAAGCTAATACTACATTGCTTCTTGCTGTTAAAGATTAAATTTTGATTAAACTAAATCTAAGTTGGAATAACTAGAAGGTAGAACAAGGAATAATTGGCATTTATTTCATCATTAATTAATTTCAATGCACTTAAACGCAAAATTATATAAAAAGTAACTGAAGTTTTGGAATATAAAACTTTTTTTTTTATTATTATACATACATACATATGTATGTACATATGTATATATTTAGGTGTACTCTAAGAACTTTAATAGAATATGTAGAAAATTGTTTGTAGTTTCGTTGTCTTATGAAATTGGAACATTTTTAAAATTAATTACCTAATAATTGAGAATCGTGGCGTAAGTGTCCGTGCGCTTTAAAGCAGTGTAACGAAACGCCTTCCATTTATGTCAGCCATGGGCACGTAGTGGCTCTTTGGGCTCCTAGGGCTTATTCCGTTATGTTTTGGTAAGTGGCGCCAGCAAAAGATCGATCGCGAGCGAACTTACAAAACCAAAATACATGTACTTGTCGCCAGCCAGACGCACAACCAGATTGATGTCGTTCCTCGATTTTCAGTAGCATTTACTCAGAACTCTAGGGTTCTCGACTAGAAATTTTGTGCCCACCGCTGATTTATACCAATGATATGCGTGCTGTACATACATACATATATAACAGCTGGCATGTTTGTACATACATATACATATATGTATGTATGTATGTACATAGATATTGGGGAAATCTGAAAACAGAAGTTAAATCGAAACAGTCGTTGGGGATTACTAATCGCCAGCTTGCATCTGCTTTCAGGCGCGCTTTCACCTCCCTCTCTTTCTTTCTCAATCTATCTCTATCTCTCTTAAGCTGAACTGCTCTGAAAACAGCAGACACTAAAACAGCAGCACCCCCTCCCCAACCCACCCATCATACAGCACAGCAGTTGCAACTAAGTATATTATGTAATCTAAAATAATGCAATATATGACGCATCCCATAGATAAACGCCGTCGCAATGCCTTCCAAGAGCAAGAGCTTGAGCGCAGGAGCGAGCAGTCGCCGGCTCCGGGCCATTACTGCAGCAACCACAGCAGCAGCAGTAGTAGCGGTGGCGGCGGCAACAGCAACGGCAGCAGCTGCAGCAGATCAGCGGGCACGGCACCAGTAAACGATCGCGAAGCCGATGGCAGTAGCTACCATCGCCGGTACGAGCCACTGACCCTGGGCAACTTTATGGACCTGGAGCGCTTGGATCAGCAACGTAATCGCATGACTGCCGTCATCACCTATGCTGGCGCCTGCCGCGCCAGAAACGAGAGCGAGGAGCGTTCGCGCAGCTGCTCCCATCAGCGAAATGGCAGCAATACCTTTACGACTACCCACTGGCCCATCATACGCAGTCATGGCCATGGCAGAGCCTCAACAGCTGCCGCTGCTGCTGGCTCCGTCAGTGGCAGCTCGAGCGGCAGCAGCTTGTCGAAGCATGCGATCAATGCGATCGAGCAGCAGGTGCCGAGGCCAGTAGCTGGCATTGAGTTTGTGCGCCGGTTTGCCGTTGCTGCCGGCAATCTGAGTCGTCAGGAGTTGGCCGCCTTTGGTCCGTTGATAGGCATGCACTGCCCCGTCAGCTTTCCGCCGCCCGAGTTCTGGCAAAATCCTTACCAGCTCAGCTTTATCGATAACGGCAGCGAGGTTAGTGTGCTCGACAAAAACAACAACAAGCTGAGCGAAGCGTTCGGCCGCAAAAACAAACACAACATAAAGCCCATTGGCTATGAGACCAGAGGCGCTAAAAGCGCTGGAGGATCGACCAACAATGCCCCCGCCGCCAGCAGCAGCAGCAACGTCGGAAGCTCCAGCAACAGTAGCCCAAACATCTCTAACAAATCAATAAACATAACGAGCTCGAGCAGTCGTGCCATTCAAAACGTGCATGCTACTGGCCTAGACGCTGACAGATCCTCAAGTTACAGTTACTTTGCAGGTCCACATCTGAAGCTGAATACGATTCTATCCCGCGACACGGAGCGCGAAAAAACTGACCATGTCTCCTATCATTTGCGCGACATTGTTAATCATGATAACAATCTGAATGGCAGACCCGAAGATACCAAGAATTGGTCCAGCAAGAGTGTGGGCCATCATGTAATCAGAGCACTGGAGAATGTCATCAAAGACCCCACTAGCTACGACGCCAGCGTCAGCCCAGCCACCAACGAGGGCTTAAGCCGTTGCCCTTCGGGCACCGTGCTGCCACATTGCAGCACCATTTCCTCTGGCCTTAGCCGTGCCACTTGGCAGCCCACACCGTTATCGTACTCCGATCAGGGCCCAAACAGCATTGTGGAGAGCATCAAGTGCATCTGGAAGCGCAACAGCAGCGACAATAATGACAACGGCGAGGAATGTAGCATTGGTACCAGCAAAAAGGACGAAGGCAAACAGGAGACACCCAAGAGTCTGGGCTGCGATCCATATCAAGCAGAAGCAACTGACAATGCTTCCTACTTTCTCGCTGGCCTCACCGACAATCCTTGGGCCGACGATTTGGACCTGACACAGTCCGCGCCAACCAACAGAAATTTAAATTACATCTGGCAGACGCAAGAGCCTCCGCGGCCCAGTAATCCATTTCCATCGCATGTGGGGCCAAGTACAGCAGCCGAACCGCAGCGCCTGACCAACACCTTCAGCAACAACCTTAGCACCAATGCCAGCACCAGCAACAACTTTACTGCTAACAGTAGCAGCAACAGCAGCAGCGGCAATAATTTAAGCACATCTAGCACTAGCAAGAGCAACCAAGCTATGCCAATATATCAGCAGCCAGCCAGTAGTCGTAGCACAAATCTGACGACTCCTGCACAACAATATGCCCAAAATGTGACTACATCCTCGTATAACAGCAGCGGCAACAACACTGCGATGGCTAACTTTAACAGCAGCCTTGCCTACAACAACCTCATCACGTACAACAATGCGGGGGTTAGAGTTGGTAGTCCAATGATGATTAGTAATCGCTATAGCAATCCAACCAACCTGTGTAGCCAACATCAGCACCAGCAACAGCAGTATGGCTGTAATTACCAACAACAGCGACAGCACCAACATCAGCATCAACATTTTCAACAGCAACAGCGTCATTTGCAGAAGCAGCAACATCAGTACCAGCATCAGCAGCAACATTTGCAGTTCCAACAACAGCAACACCACCTCCAGCATCATCAGATTCAGCAACGACAACAAAATCGGTACCAGACCGCAGTTTATAATCCGTCAGATTATTATCAAGGATATTACAATTCCATCAATGCTACCACCAGCAGCCGTAGCAACAGCTTCAGCTCCAACAACAACCTGAATAGCAATCGCAACACTCAAGGATATGGCAGATATATCGCTCACAACAACGCTGGCTCGTGTTCCAGCAACAACTTTAACAATTGGTCCACTGAGCTCGCCAGTAGCAGCAACACCAACACCAACACTAGCACCAGCAGTAATAGCAGTAATAGCAACATTAACAATGCCACTGGCATTTGCAACATTGAACCGTTTCCATTGAACCTGGCGCCAGAACATTTGCTGGCTGCTCAAATGTATGCCATACATGGTGAGCGCTTCTTTGACATGCCCATGGGTCAGATTTACAAGCGTACTCTCAATGAACCGTCTACAGGAGGAACAACATCAGCCACGGCTACGGCCGCAGCAGCCGCATCCGCATCCGTTTCTAAAACAGCAACAGTTACATCCGCCGTCCAAGCTGCATCAGCTGCAGCCCAATCTCGGTCCATTGCAATGCGTCCATCGCCCTCCATCCCAACAACCTCCATGTATCGTCCAGGCAATCACAATCAAACAAATTGGCATGGACACCACTATCATCACCACCATCACCATCATCAGGTGAGTGTTAGTTCGGATAAGGCCAAGGCTAAAATTTCTCTGCATTGGCATGCATTTGTTTACAGTATAATCAGCCGCAGTTGCATCATCATCATCAGCAGTCACTGCCTTATCAGCAGACGGCGCCGCAAGCTGAGCCGCCGGCAGTACTGCGTCCGGCGTTTAATATAAACAAAGCCAACTTTCCGCCGCTACCGGCGCCAAATCAAAAGCGAAGCTCGAAAGATTAAGTTGCTTACAAACAGGAGAATGGGGTTAAGTGTAAGTCTGGGAATATGATCTATTATAAACAGATGCGTTTATTTAATTCGATTCATTTATTGGCAGCCCATTTCTGGACTTTCGTCGACGCTTAGCGAACAGGAGAAGTATGCACACAAAACTCGTACTGCACATATTCGAATTGCCAATATATAGTACATACATATCCACATATTAGCCCACACATGCATACATACATATGTATATGCACTCGAGATGGTAAACAGAACTTAGAGCTTAGGTTACATGTTATTTATTTACTTGTACCATGTTTATCGCTTTTTTAAGTTGCTGTGTTGTTTTCCTTTTTCTTTTTTTTTTTTAAATAAAATTGCACTATTTGCCAAGAATAACGGCTCCTTTTAATCTGTGTATTTCAATTGCGGGCTTAGTGCGCAACCAGTGCTGAAAAACATCCCAACACAATCTAAACTCTGGCAGCGCTTTTCCGCAGTAGCGTTGCTAAGAAATATTAATGCTTGTTTCTCGATAGGCCGATATTTTTATTTGGTAGAAGTATTGATTTAATAAAGCTACGTATATTTTTTTTTTGCGAATCGCGAGCAATGGAGGCGCTGGTCAATTACAGCAGTGAAGATGAGCAGGAGGACGCGGGCTACGAAATACGGGTAAATATGCAAAATGCGTTTGCAACAATTTTGTACGTCAGCCCCAAAAATGCATTTTGTGTACACACAATTTTGCCGTGCGTGCATACGGATGTACATATGTACATACATTCTGTAAATATGTATGGATGTATGAAGACACACTGTATGTGCACATGTCCTTTTTACATTTACATTTATAGATGGCTGTGGCTGTGTGCATGTCACCAAAACACCAGAACTCATACAGAAAGACTGACAAACCGACACACACATACACAGACACACACACACACACTCATCAATGTATTATTGCTTTAGAGTGTTATCTTAGTGCTTTAGTAAAATAATATGAATTTGCTGTTTCTGAATAGTTGCAAAATTCCCCTAGGCACCAACACAAACAAAGCTGCAGCATGGCAGTGGCCACTCCACAGCATCGGCAGGCGGCAAGCGCAGCACCCGATCTCGTTCCCGTACCCGTTCTCGATCCCGTACACCACCAGTGCTCTCTGAGCGTAGACTAAAACAGCATAAGGCCAAAAAGAGTAATGATCGTCACACACGTCGCTCGCGCCGCCGCTCCAACAGCAGCGCTAGTAGCGTCAGCAGTGGCAGTGCCGGCGGCAACGGCGTCCGGCTTAAAAAGGCCAGCAAACATAAGACGCAATCGGAGCCGATGGTACCGCACACACCACCCCTGCCGTCTTCGGTTGTTCGTCACTCGACTGCGTCTAACAACAATTCGGGCTCCGCCTCTAGGAAGAGCGCCGACCGCTATGATAGCCGGAGCAGTCAGCATCAGAACCAGAATCATCACAGCAGCAGTCGCCACAACGATGAGGTAAACATTTGTGTTGTGTTCGTCACAAGCACAGAAATGTCTAAATACTTGATTTCTATTATTATTATTATTATAGTTATTATAATTATTGATGTGCTGTTGTACACTTGTACATAACACTTTTAGTATTTCTCCTCTCCTATTTTAATTTTCTTTGCCATATTGCGCTTCTTACATGCATGATTGTGTGGGCGTGTGTGTGTGTGTGGGTGGGTAGGTGTGTGTGCGGCGCAGTTTCGTTAGCCCAGTGGCAACATAAGCGACACTTCTAGCGTCCGCCTTTCGACTGCCCATTTTTAATATATATATGTACATACATACTTGTATACTATGTATAAACATGCATTCATATACATACACGTGTGTATGTGTATGGCAGAAGTATGTATGTACATACATTTGTCCGTCTGTCTTCAAATGCATGGCCTCGTCGCTTGCAGTTGGCCATCATGCTCAGTAGCTCACGGGTAGTCGGCCATGAGTATATGATGCTTGCCTCGTCCCTGGCATATTGCTGAGACAACCCGTCCCCCTCATATTGTGTGCTTCGGCAACTGCCAGACAATGCTAATATTTTCATGTAACGCCCATGCCGATGGATTCGAGACTGTTGTGCATTTTTTCAATATAAGTACATATGTATATGTATTCTTTTTAACCATTAGCCCTTAAAGAGTCTTTCAATGGGCGTGCGTCAACTTAGAAATTGAAATAAAAATAGATTGTGACTTTTGTTCCCTCTAAAATTCTGTAAACACGCCTATTTATTCCATTTCAATTTAAAGAAATGTTCTGTGTAGCTATTTTGATCGTAATTGGTTTTAATAATTGCTCTGCCAACTATTTAGGTCCAATAAAATTAGAAGAAATCTCTAATTCTCTAATAACATGCCTGCACTCTCGCGAGTGCTTGTAAGTTGACGCACGATAGTTGAAAGGGTTTTTAATTTAAAGTTAACTCTTTATAAACAACTTTATATTTATATGACTAAAATATACCATTTTATTATTGTTATTATTATGTAAACAAACAAAAAACGTACCATCTACCAAACCAAAATCGAACCAAATCAATCAAACAAGCCACACACAAAAGTCTCGAAGCGAACGCTCTGTGCCAAACCGTAACTGCAACTTGACCAACACGTCTACTGTTAACTCGAGCGATCAGCTTAGAATTCCTAAAACAAAACAGCCCTATTGATTCCTAATCATCGCAGTTGCAAACAATAAGTGTTGCATTCCTAATTCAACCTACAAAGCTGCATTGCATCTACAAATTTCGACTCAGACAACAGTTCTTTCAAATCCAGTCGTACTACGAAGGAATTGTCGCCTTTCATAGGCAATGCCAATTGACCGGACTGTACTGAACAACAGCATGAAATATTTGAAATTATAGACCGCAGACATCGTACCTTACATCCTACGAAACGCTACAGAGTAGTCAAAAACAAAAAAAAAAACAATTATTTAATAAACCCCAAGACGCTGACCTTGTGTGTGGGTTTGTGTGCGTGTGTGTAAAATTCCTTTAACTCCTTTACACACTCTGACCGCATGGTTGGGACAAAGCGAGAAAGAAGAGCGCGACGCACGAATGTGAGTATTGCAACAATAATAATAATACAAAAAAAAAAAAAACAAAAACCTAGCATAAACTAATCTGTACTACTAAATATAAATGTTCAATATTCAGTCACTATGCATATGCGAACTAAACATCTCTTGCAGCGGACTTATGAACTGAACCACGTATGCTTTGTAGGTTTAGGCAATTAAATGAAAGCAAAAGACGCGCACAGGTAAACCCCCGGCGGCGGCCACAATAGAATGAAACCGATCAGCAGTGTCCGAGACTTGATTTGTTTTGGTTCCATATAACGATTTATTTAATGTTATTATTTCATGCTCTTCAATGTGATGTGTGCCAGTCAGGGGCATTAACGTTTCATGTTCGATTGCCTCCCTTTTTTCTTTTTAGGATGCTGGACGTGGTCGCAAACAGCGCGAATCCGGACGCGAGGACCGCGAAAGAGAGCGTGAAAGAGAAAAACGCGATGGAGACAAGAACAGGGACTATAGCAAGGTAAGGCCAGAATCTCTCATTAAAACAACCTATATCTTACTGTTATTGATAATCCATTTTATAACTCGACTTGCAGAGTGATCGCCATCACCGTACCAAAGAGAGCAGCGACTACAAGCGCGAACGCGAGGAGCGCGAAGAACGTAAACACGGCCACAGCCACAGCAGCTCCAAAGCTCCTCCGCGTCATCATAAGGATAAGGACAGTGGCGGCAGCAACAGCCACACACGTTACAGCGATACTTCATCGCATGCACGCCCATCACATAGCTCGTACAAATCTCAGTCATCGCATCATGGCCACCATCGTCGTCGCTCCTACGAGGAGCAGCGGAGCTACGAACGTCGTCGTCGACAATCGCGTTCGCCGCGCTCACACTCCCGCACGCCAACTGGCACGCCGCCCAGCCGTAACCGACATTCGGCGACTCATCAGCGTAACTATCGCAGACGTGATTCCCGCGATTCCAGCAGCCGCTCCAGATCGCCGTCCGAACGCCAGCATAAGTCCACATCCGCATCTTTCCAATCGGCCAGCAATGCCGACAACTTGCCCCGCCCTGCTTTGCTAAGCAAGCCAGCCCCATCTTTGTCGGTGGCATCTGCAGCAGATGGCTTGATCGCCACCACAGCTATGGCCACAGCCGTAGCGGCTGGTAGTGTCGGCAATGGCGGCGGTGGCGGCGGCTTGTTGCCCACTCCCAATTTTGCACCAAAAATACCCTCGCTAATGTCTCTGGAATTGACCGACATGATGGTTGGCAGATGCAAACAGCCCGCAGCGCCGAATGTAGGATTGGGCGGTGGTGTCGCCACTTTGGGCGTGAACATCGGCGCCACCAACCCCACAAATGTGTCCATACAATTACCCAGCTACTACAATCCGGGTATTATAAATGTCAATCGTTACGCCGAGCAACAGCAGAAACGCAAATTGCTTTGGGGGTCGAAGAAAACCGATGATTCGGCCAACAAGTGGAACCATGCCCACTTCTCACAGGACTCGGATGGCAAGGTGGCCTCTAAGTTCATGCGACTGATGGGCATAAAGAATGCCGGCAGCAATAATACCAATAATAGCACCAGTGCCAGCAATGAAACTGAAGTACCTGCAGCCACAGATAAAATCGAATCTAGCGTCAGTGGCGGTGGTGCCGGCGGAAGCGGCGGCAGCAATGGGAGCGTGCCAGCCGACGTAAAGCTGCGCGAGCGCATGTTCTCCACCATGGAGCAGCAGTATGAGGTTGCTCGTGCGGCTACTCACACTATGCGTGGAGTGGGCCTGGGATTTGGCACGCAGCCGCGTACCTTCTGAGACAGGCAGGTCACACGAGCAATGCGATCAGATGCATCACCCGAAGAAAGGAAACCACCTTCAACGCGAAACAGATTCACTGAAAACACAGACGCTAAGGAGGGAGATGAAACAGATGACGTAGATGGAAGTTGTATGTAAATAGGCTGATTGGGCGTTCTCGACACGCTAAGTTTGCAGTTTCAGGAAACAGAACCTATAGTCACTTTAAGCTGTTGTTGTGTGCTAAACACACAAACACGAACTACACAATGTGTAATAATAGGTTTTTAATAGTTCTACATATGCTTCAATTTAATTTTTGATTTGAAATAAACTTAACAAATCAATGTTACCACATGACGTTGTTCCAAGCATGTAATAAACAGTAAAATTTTTGAACAGTAAATGCTTAACTGTTTTATTGAAGCGCTGCCATCTTGTTAAAATATACGCGGTGGTGGCAGTGTGAACTATTTTTTTTTGGTATTTTTTAGTGTTAGTCGAAACAATAACAAAATCAGCTGGAACGGACGGTTTTGTGCCACGCAAAAAATAACAAATTTATATTGCAACAAAAGGAAAAAATATCTAAAGTGTGTTTGCAGGTCATTGCAAAAATTAGCGAGGATTGCACACTACAAGAGCAACATTTGAAATAGAACGGCACAATGTCGTGGCTAAACAACAGTCTAAACTCCATAAAGGGGCAACTGACAAATTTGGCGCAGGAGGTGCTGGCCGAAACGGCTGGACCCGGTGATGAGGACTATCGCGGACCGGAGGTGAACACAAAAACGGCATTGGAGCTGCTGGCAGAGACGCAACAGCAAAAGGAACAGCTGGACAGAGCGTGCGAGGACAAAGATCGTGAGGTGAGCGCACGACGTGGACGTTTGTTGGTTTGTTTGGCTACGTTAGGCTACGTTAGAACAGCTGCCACGACAATTACATATGCACGCCTGTGCATGTGTTTGTACATGTACGGACCTATTTTTGTACATATGTATGTGTACGTTCAACCGACAACAAATAAACCAATCAAACGAAAACAGTTAGAAACAAACAAAAAATTGGCAGTGGGCTTGGGTAAAAGCGTCGACGTCAATATTAATTTCTACTTTGTCCTGCACTTGTACGTCTTCGTTAAGCGCCTTTGACCTGCCTCTGACGGCTGGGGTTGGCCAATATTTTCCTTCCAACTCTCTGTCAATTGCCAAATCGTTGTTGTCATGTTTTCTTAACGATGGTCCATCTTTCCCAACAGATTGCAGCGCTGCGCAAACAGATTTCGAAACTGCAAAGTCAAAAAATTAGCGACAGTGGCGGTGGTGCCGGTGGCGACACAGAATCAACCACTTCACAGACCAGGCACAGTTCCAAGTCGGTAAGTTGAGCAAAATGTGGCAAATGTGCAAACAAAATTGGTTAGTAACCACCTACAATGGTGACAATGGTTGTAGTGTACGTCCAGCTAACCAATTTGCAACTGCTGGCTGGGGCTGAGCCAACAAACAACAGTTTACGTCTCAGTCAGTTTCTGCCTTAATACTGACGCACATTTCCGGTTTGTTGTGACCCTCCCGCGACATACATCCCATACATACACACATATACACACATATGTATAAAATGTGTTCATATCGCATATATCGTTGCGCTTCACATCAAGAGCTGTTTGCGTATGCTTACAAGCAAAAAGCAACCAGCAACAATCGGGAAGCAGGCAGCCTGCTTATCTGGCCCGACGCGATAAGCAGTGGTGGCAGGCGTTCACGTAGCCTCACATCCCTAAATTAATATTTAAATTTTGATAAAAGCCGGGCAGGAGCAGCACAGCCGGTGCTGGTGGCCAAATACGCTCGTCTGCCTTTCTATTTGCACGCTCACTTGGGCTTATCTGGCTGTATCGATGCCCTGTGACACCAACTGGGTCTGCGACAGTTGTAGTATGCAATATGCTTCCCCATATATCAGCTTACCTGCAGCTAAATGTTACCCCGATAACGAACGGCCATCTCAATGCTTTGCGCCACCATACTATGCTACACCATGAGCCCATTATTGCTGGGTTCTTTATGGGGCTTTTTTTTAACGAAATTTCTATTTGATTTAACATTAACATTTATTTACTCGCCTGTCATAAATCCGCCATGGTTTTTATACCCTATATCCGAAACGGAAAGGGTCTTATGAAATCATTCTGTCAAAGGTAAGACCTTAAATTACGCGTAGCAGTATCTACGGGCTCTTTTGAAACCCGTAAAAATAGACAAGCTGATGTCCTTTAAACATTTATTAAATACTACCGTCCTGCCCCTGCTTCGCACGGTTATTTATGCAAACATTTTAAAAATTATACATTTTATCACACACACATACACCCTCCTTTTTGCTATGAGTTACTAAGAAGGAGTAAAATTTATTTTGGATATTATTATTTTAATGATTTTTTGTCCGTTTTTATATTTTTTTGTTAGACTTTATTAGGTCAGAGGTTCTCTGTAAAAGATATTTGATGTTTTATTTTGTGGTAGCAAAAGAAATTGATTTTCAGGAGCTCCGGCCCGTGATAGGTCAACATACAGTAAAACATTGCTTTCGTATGTCGATCCCTACTAATTCGAAGGCTTGGCCTTGGGACTACCGGAAATTGAAGCCATATAAATGATCAAATGGGATCATCGGTATCCTCGGTTTTCTCGTTATATGAGCTAGTGGACCAGTTGCTGGGCCGTTGATAATACTTGCTACACTTAAATTGTCCTGCAATTCCTTAATAAGCAGCCTCGTCCCATTGCACATGCTTGGAAGGCTTTAATTTCTCAAAAGCATGATTGCAATTCCGAATTTTACCGTCAATTCGTGTGGCGGCAGTCCAGAAGGCATTAGTTAATTTAAATGTCTTCAATATTAATCACGGAGTCGATCGAATTGTAATTTTTTATTTGGCTGGGGGCTTTTGAATATTATTGCCTTAATATTTAAAGTGACAATGTTTCGAGGATGAATTTGAACAGCATGTTATTCAGGAGTTTTTTAAGATAATTTTTTTACACCTTTGGTTACATTATTGGCGTTTTAGTAAGGATTCCATTCCTTTTTGCAAATATAATATAGCCCATGTTCACCGTCGATAGTGTAGCTTCCCAACAGTGAAAGAATCCATTAAATCGGTCCAGTAGATTCGGAGCCTTTTCGATTCAAACAAACAAACAAACAAACAATCAAATATTTCCTCTTTATAATATTAAGTATAGACTACCATAACTCTTGGAATTTCGCTTTAAAAATAAGTCTATGTTTTCTTTATATTTATATGCATTTGAATGGAAGGACTTTTGAAGTCTTTACTACCTAGTACCTATCCCTTCTCCCACATTTCATCCATTTAGGTAGCATAAATTTGATTACACCGATCGTTCTTCTGATTTCGATCAAACTTTCAAATGTACTAATAATTTGTAGGGTATACCATAGTTGGACGAATTTGGAATTCAGATTTGGCATATACATATGTATTACGAGGGCAGACCCAACAGTCAGTGATATTTAAATCGAGCTTCTTTCTCATTCTCGCATTAGTTCAATACTGAATGAAAAATGAATAAGATTCGATCAGGTTTTTAAAAGCGACCCGCTATCTTCATTCAACAAAATACTTTTTCATATACAGTGGGCGCCAAAAGTCTACATACGATCCAATATTTTGCTACCTGGCCGAAACAAAGATATTTATTAAAAAACTAATGATGCAGTGTCGTAGCTTATCTATTCATATGGAAGAAAACGAAAAATGATTAACTTAAGAGATAAAAACGAAACACCATATTGCTTCCTTGACAAAAGTGTACGTACGATTTCATTTCACACTTAATTCTTCGAGCTGTGCATCGCCAATAAAGCGGTACGCCCTCGGTTATTAAAGTTCTTGATTTGGCTTGTTTCTAGAAATTATTCTCATATCCTTTGGATGCTTTCTGAGAACTTGCAAGAGGATTTCGTTCATAGAAATGGCTTGCCATAAAGAAATCTCCACCGATTTGCGAAAATTACTCTTAAAGTACAGAAATGAGAACAAAATGAACTAAACTTTTAAATCTTGGCAAGTTTACTGTACATGCAATATTGAAAAACTATAAGAACAATAGCAGTGTCGAGAATAAGCCTCGAAGTAATTGACCAAAAATATATTAATATGTGATTGTTTTTAAGTAATAATAATAAACATTTCACTTATGGTGTTTCATTTGCGAACACTTTAATAAATCGTTGAAGTTTCTGATTTGTTCGGACCACCCTCGTAAATATGTTCACATTTGTAGGTACACATACATACATATGTATGTGCTTTGTGCGCCTGCCTCCCTCGTTTAATTTATCGAATTAAGTACTTTCGATTAGGTACAACCCGTGCCCCTTTCCAAGTCCATCGCGCTCAGTCGATATCATTGAGTTGGATTACGTTAGTTTGGATTTACGGCGCTGCCTTTTCGTGCGCAACTGTACACGGTGTTGACAACAGATGTAAATCTGCCTAGATACGGGTAGATTCGATGAACCGCCTCCATTAATTTGTGTGTACCGCTTTGGGATTTCTTTAATATAAATATGAAAAGGATCGATCCTATTTGTTGTAATCGTTTTTATAGGTTTATAGTTTTCTGTAGGAATCACTGGGAGAATTGTTATCTTGACAAAATTAAAAGTCTTTCTCCATGTTGTGAAAAATGATAGCAACAAATGACAGAAATAGGTTTTATTTTTGGCGATGCGATCATACTCGTACCATAAAGAGCGCCTCCGACAGTATAGAAACCTATTTATAGGCTAATGATAATAGAAAAGGTAAATAAAGATTAATAGGCTAAGCTTCCTCTTCAAAATATGTGCTAGTCAAGGACACGCGAATAAAGATTTCACCGGCATTTCTGTTTAGTATTTAACTGTACCAATTCGGTTGGCATTAAGTTAAACTGATCCTTTTAATAAAAAGGTTAAACCCTGTATCCAAATGTTTTCACAAGCCTTCTATTATATTCTTCATCGGTTCGTCGTGATATGACCAGATTTACGGAGTTATAGCCATTCATGTAATCGCCGACCGTGCTCTGCCATCAGCTGTGGTTGTTGTATCTAAAAGTGTGGCCCGCTTGACTCCAACACTTCATTCCTATTTCGTTTATATTGAATGGATTAGTCGTTACTCATACTATACATATATGTTTAAATTCACTCTACAAGAAAAATAGATACTTGTAGGTATTTTCCTCGTCTGCAAAAAAAAAAACCGTATCACGATAGATCACAAAACACTGACAAATAGTGTGATGAAGCAGAGCTTAGTTTTCTAAT